CATGGTAACCATTTGAACACCCCTAACGGTGAATAAACTCTTTATAGGCTTTAGAGTGAATAGTGGAATTTATTGAAATATGAGGGAAATGTGTAAAAATTGACTCACTATTTGGAAAACAAACACATTTTTTATTTGGAGTCCACGAGCTCGAGAACGACGACTTATATGATGCAGACAAACACAATCGATCAGATTGAGCAATTCTAAACATTTATGAATGCAAGAGAGTGTTATAAGATCCATATATAATTAACATTCTCTCAACAATTAATTCGAGGTATTGCTCGTAGCGTTCTACCCGTTCACGGGGCGCCTGGCGAGAGACGAGAAGGGGAGGTTGGAGGTGCACTGCAATGGCGAAGGTGTGAGATCTCGTTGGACGAGCTCGGCGAGTTCAAGCCTGGAGCAGAGCTTCTCAAGCTATTGCCTAGCGTTGATTACTCACGAGGGATCTCTTCTTACCCTTTGTTGCTTCTTCAGGTAAGTAAACAAACCAAATTCATTGAAACAAAGGAGGACAAATTTTATGACTATATATTCGGATGGCAATTCAAACAATATAGTCTGATGTTGGCTAATGTAGCTAGCATTCCTAGAAGAACGAGTGGGATTCCTCACCCGATATACCGTCGTGAAAGTGCCCAAAGAGCAAAACAACACTAAATACTTCAACTGCAAAAAATTGAATCCCTAAACTGTGCAAAGGTTCGATCCGGTCAAAATCATGTGAATCGCGGTCCAATTAGTGAAAGCCATTTTTGGACTAAAGATCAGACCAACAATGCATTCTATTTTAGCCTGGTCCAAGTATCATTTCGTCTATTTTTCTTCAGTATTGCAAAAATTTTATGGGACCAAAGACCGAACTAAGTTATAATATTTTTTTCGGTATGATCTAGTTCAAGCGTCAGTTTGGTTTGGTACGGACCAACCCGTTGCGCACCCTTAAATTGAAGGACAAATTAATCTCAAAGAAGATGGACGATTCGAGGCAAAAACTTATTTTTCATTTTTAGATTATGTAGGATAAAATTATATACCAGATCTTTTTTCCCCAAATGCTATATCATGAATAAATTCTTTAGTTGCAGACATTTTGATGAAATCAAGCCATTATTTTCTACCAAAAGAGGTGGGGGAAAAACACCATGATTAAATTATGAAGCCCACCCGGCTAGTTTAAAAAGTTGCATTATATGGCCAATAATATACTCTCTTTATCTTTCGGTGAATTGATGGTTATCAATAATTAGCACATAAGCAATCATAAAATTTTAATCCAACTAAGCTTTTGAGAATAAAATCTCTCTTTTTTTTTTGTGGGCAAAAATAAAATCACTCTCATGTGTTGGTTTGTAATTTTTCGGAAGTTTGAGAAACTCTAAAATTTGGAAAATAATATATTTGGTAAGAATTTAGAAAAAAGGTAAAATGTATTTGAAAGTGGTCATGTTATTTATAGAAAGGTAGTTGATGATATAATGAATAGTGTGTTCAATACTGAATTGCTAGATGAATTTTAGATTTAAGTAAGTTATAGATTTTAAAGTGAACAGTGAAATATACTGAAAGCTAAGCCAAATGTGTAAAAGTGTGTTTGTTTTGACTCACTATTTGGAAAACACACACTTTTTATTTGCCATCAGGGAGATGGAGAACGATTATTCATATGATGCAGACGCACACAATTAGATTGGACATTCTAAACACTGATGAATGTGAGAGCGAAGGGATTGGTGTAGTGGTAATACTACTAACCTTGAACCTGGAGGTCCCAGGTTCGAATCCCTTCAGTAGTACTTATTTGCAAAGAATAATCTATATCACCCTTATCTAAAAAAAAGAATGTAAGAGCGTTATACAAAATTCATCATTAATCTTCTTTCGATAATTCGAGATATTGACTCAATGTTTGGAAAATCAAAGACACTTTTTATCTCGAGTCAAGGAACTCGAGATCGAAAACTCATATGATGAAGCAGACTAACACAATTAGATTGGTGATTCTAAACACCGATGAATGTAAGAGCGTGATACAAAATTCATAATCAGCCTTCTTTCAACAATTCGAAATATCGATTCATTATTTGGAAAACAAAGACACTTTTTATTTGGAGTCAGGGAGCTCGAGAACGAGAACTCATATGATGCGGACCATGATGCATTTGTGCGGATCAGGCAGCAGTGGGTAGAGCCGGTCTACCCAATATTATAATTATCTGGATATTCTTTCAGTTTATTGGTTTATTGTCGGATTAGTATTCGTAGTAATATTCTTATTTAGTCGGTAATTCTAGTAAGAGTTGGACTAGGTTAGGGTTACCATGTTTAAAGAGAATTAGGTTTATGGAAGCTCTCCTATAAATATGTACTTAACCTTGCGTTTTATATATCGAAGAAGAATAAACTTCAGTATTTTCAGTTTCTTTTAGTTTTCGTATTTCTAGTTCCCGACGCGTGAGTCTGTCACGCGTCAATTGGTATCAGATCCCGGTTTCGACAAAGAACCGGGACGATGATCCCTCCCAAGAAGAACATTGTCGCCTCGTAGGACACGGGCGATGACGACGGCAGCAGCCAGGCGGGCCGGGAGCTGGCAGAGATGAGGGCGAGAGCTGAGGCTCTCGATCGCCGCCTCCGCGCAACTGAGGAGGAGCTCGGCCTTATCAAGAGCACGACCGGGAATCTGGAGAGGGGCCAGACGGCGCTGCAGGTTGTTGTGGAGGAAATCCGGACCGATTCTCAGGCCGGGTATGGAACCCTGGGGCGACGGCAAGCCGAGGCCGACACGAAGCTGGATCACATCAGCCGCGGCCAGGACGAACTCCAGGCAATGATCGCGCAGCTCAAGGAGATGATTGTAGGGCTGGGGAGTCACGAGCCGGCTCGTCGGACCATTGATCAGATCCCGGCAGGCGATAAGCTCAAGGGAACAGTGATAGAGGCTGAAGAAAAGAGGGGAGACTCGTCCCCACTGCCTGTGACCCCGCAAACCACGCCAGATCGAGGGGCTCGGGGCGGCGAGTTGCTGAAGACAAGAGATCATGCGATCCAGGCCCTAGGCGGCGCATGGGGAAGCTTGGCGATCGATGCGGGTGATTACCGGTGGCCACCAACGTCGGGGCTACCGGCAGGCATGGGTGGGGCGGCAACACGGGGCGCAGGAGGATCGCGAACGGGGATGAGCGGCACGGGACCTCACCTATCGAAGCCAGAAGGGCCGAGGGAGCCCGGCAGGGCCTGGGGGTCGGGTACGGCAGGAGGAGACCGAGCCAGGGGCTGGGGTCCGGGCGAAGGCGGGTCAAACTGCGAGACCAAGAAGCCGGGGGAAGCTGACAGGGGCGAGTCGAGCGAACCAAACCGGGGAGCCGTGGGCCTAGGACGATCGGAAGCAAGGGGAGAGGCAGCGGAAGCTCTGTTCAAGGGTCGGCAGGCTACCATTGAGTTTCCACGATTCACAGGGCATGAAGATCCGTCCGGCTGGATGTCAAGGGTGGAGAAGTACTTCAAGTACCAGGGAATTTCTAATGAGCAGAAGGTGGCCTTGGCGTCTTTCCACCTGGAAGATGACGCCAACCAATGGGTTATGTGGTTGGAAGAGGAGTTCGAGCAGAATGGGAAGGAGATGTGGTGGGAGGACTTCCTTGAGGAGTTCTGGAAAAGGTATGGGGCCTCGAAGAAAACTGCGGGACATGAGGCGCTAGCAAAGATCAAACAGACAGGGACCGTGGAAGATTATAAGTAGACATTTGAGAAACTGCTCAATCACTGCCGTGGGTGGGGAAAGGAGGCGATCATGGGTACCTACATGGGTGAGCTCTGGGGATGCATATCGGTTGGCCAAAATTCGGGAAGAGGAGATGCGAGTAGAAAAAGCGGCGATGGGAGCTGTTTCCCGGGGAACGTCCGCGACGCCAAAGGTGAGCTCTGGCAACTCACCGCCACCTGCTGCTGCTGCAACCGCGCCAAGATCGCCACCGGTGGCGGGACAAGGACCACCACCGCCCACCCGCCGAGTCATTCGCAATCTGCGCCGGAGGAGGCTGCCAGGCATAGGAGGGATGGGCTCTGCTACAACTGTGACGAACGGTTCACCTATGGTCATCCCTGTGCTAATAACCATGTGTTCGTCATGATCGGGGACTTCGGAACTGAATCGGCTGGAGAGAACGGGGTTGAGCTGCAGCCTCGGGACGAGGCTTTCGAAAGGAGGGAGGATTGATGCATTTGTGCAGATCAGGCAGCAGTGGATAGAGCCGGTCTACCCAATATTATAATTATCTGGATATTCTTTCGGTTTATTGGTTTATTGTTGGATTAGTATTCGTATTAATATTCTTATTTAGTCGGTAATTCTAGTAAGAGTTGGACTAGGTTAGGGTTACCATGTTTAAGGAGAATTAGGTTTATGGAAGCTCTCCTATAAATATGTACTTAACCTTGCGTTTTATATATCGAAGAAGAATAAACTCCAGTATTTTCAGTTTCTTTTAGTTTTCGTATTTCTAGTTCCCAACGCGTGAGGCCGTCACGCATCAGACCATCACAATTAGATTGGACATTAAACATTGATGAATATAAGAGCCTAATACAAGATTAATAATTAACCTTATTTCAGCAATTCGAGATATTAAGATCCGTTGGTTTATTACATGATATCATAATTAATTTATCCAAGTGGTCGAGTGTTCAAATCTCCACGGTCCCCAATATGATTAACAGTTGTCAGTCGGTTTAAAGCACTGTGCAAACTCCAAACCCATAAGTTGGATTTTATTTGAGGGGCGTGTAAAAGAGTGATAAAAACTGGACGGTTTATAACGATGAAAACACGATACACTCTCCTTCTATCATGGCAGATCGCATCATTGTGAAGTGACAATTGATGCAACTTTTTAAAACGGAGGTTCTGTTACCCTATACACATTATTGTTATCACTAATAGTTTTGGCCCCATCCACATCGGATCCATTCAATAAATCGGCCCTAATCGCCTTCTTCACACTACACAACCAATCTCCTCTTCCTTGTACCAACATCACCACTTCAATTCAATCCTGCAACGCCAAAATATGAAGGTAGACGTCCTAAAGACCAGCATTGTGAGGCCAGCCGATGAGGTGACGGGCAGCCGGCCTAGAAGCGCCCAACATCATCACCGGCTGTGGCTGTCCAACTTGGACCTCTTGCACGGCCGGATCCACGTGCGCACGGTGTTCTTCTACAGACCCGGCGACGACACGTACTACAGCAGCAGCAGTCCGGCATCGAAGGAGAGTTACTTCGATGCCAGACTGCTGAAAGACGCGCTGAGCCAGGCGCTCGTAGCGTTCTACCCGTTCGCAGGGCGCCTGGCGAGGGACGAGAAGGGGAGGTTGGAGGTGCACTGCAATGGCGAGGGTGTGATGTTCAGGGAAGCTGAGGCCGACGTCTCGTTAGACGAGCTCGGCGAGTTCGAGCCTGGAGCAGAGCTTCTCAAGCTATTGCCTAGCGTTGATTACTCAGGAGGGATCTCTTCTTACCCTTTATTGCTTCTTCAGGTAACTAAACAACCAAATTCATCAAAATAAAGGAGCAAAATTTGAACCCGAACCGGCGGGTATTACTCGATTTGACCCAAAATATAGCAGGTTTACCTGATCCACAGTGGCGCGGAGAGGGGGCATGGGGTACTAGTTTCGCTCTACCTCGCCTCATATTGTCCCGTTCTGGACCTGTTTTATCTCGATTTGCGTCATTATCTATTTGTATTTCTACCAATAATTTTATCATATTTTCATCTAACAAAACTTTGAATAACTGCAAGACTTCCTCTTTTAATTAATTGAACTCAATTACTCATTTTTTATTATCTTTGTTGTTCATTTATACATATAAAGTGTTTCCCCTTAATCTAACGTAACAAAATTAAATTTATGTGTTTACTTTTATTCAAATAACATGTGTAAATGGATCAACCTACCAAATTCTTTGCCCTACACACGAATTATTCAATCTAACTCGCACCTTATGCAGAACGAGTAGAAATATTAGGATATTCACCCCGCTCGATCGCCATCACTAATAATTTGACATGAGAAAATCAAAGTAAGCTCATAGTTAAAAACATATCATATGACATGAGGAAGTAAAATTTTATAGAAAAGGCTAGAAATAAATAATTGTAGCAACTCTTCCCGACTACAACACAAATGCCCTTTTATGGTCACTACAGTTAGATCCTTATTAGCGACAAGTGTAAGTTGGTGGCTAACTCTTGGTCACCTACTTTACTTATATGGCATATTATTATTAAAGTCCGAAAACTCTAGGCTTTGTTTACCAATATAATTAGTGAACATGTCATTCGGTGGCAGAGAAGTGGTCATTATTTATAAACTAGCTTTGTTCCCGGTATATCCGCATGAGTACGGTAAGTTGGCCCGTTCCATAGAGGAAAAAGAAAAAAATGACACTCTCTATTCTACCCTTCCTACAAACGCTCATGGAGCAGGGAATTTGAAATGGGGGAAAGGTTTTTTCCTCTCTACGATTATATGTTTGGAAGTTGGGATTGTTCAAATTGATGTATTGGGACAATTAATGTATTATCATTTGATGGATTGAATCAATTGATGTATTAGGTAAATATATTGTTTGGAGGTTTAGAATGTGTTTTTGTTCCAAAGGTAAAAAAGTTAGTATTGAGTGATTGTGAAGAATCTCAACAAAAAGTAGAGATTGTAAATCCCTCAATATTGAGTGATTGTGGTGGGGCCTCCAAAAAGTAAATGCATGTATTCTAGTTCTATATAAACCAAAAAAACGACTTAATCTCACAAATACATGAATTAGATAAATACACCATTTGAAATCACAACTTCCAAACGACCCTACTAAGGTGACGAGATTGGTTATGATCTTTGTTTTTCTTTAAAGTGGTCGTGATTCGAATTATAATAAGTGTCTTTTTAATGAATAAAAAGAAAGTAATTGTGAAAACCAAAATGTCGTTCCTATTTTCACTCTTGATGCGGGAAATTTGAAATGGGACTTCAAGTTTTCTTATTTAGCTTTTATATATTGTGTAGATTTTAAGATACGAACTTGCCACATCCTAAACTTTCCCTTTTCTCATGTTTTCTAAGGTGACGAGATTCAGATGCGGCGGAGTAAGCCTCGGAATCGGTACCCACCACAGCTTGGTCGACGGAGAATCAGCCATGAGCCTTATCAACGCATGGGCGAACACGGCTCGTGGCTTTCCCCCGGTCGTCTCGCCTTTCCTGGACCGCACCATTCTTCGAGCAAGGAACCCACCGGCCCCAAAATTTCACCACTCCGAGTACGATCCATCCCCGGTCCTGATCAATGGCACCCCAAACCGAACCGAAAATCCAACCGCCATGGCCGTCCTCACGTTCACACCCGACCAACTCAACGCTCTGAGAAAACAGGTCAACCCCAACCAATACTCTAAATCCAAGGCTGGCTACAGCACGTACCAGATCCTGACGGCGCACATTTGGCGCTGCGTGAGCAGAGCACGCGGCCTGGCTGACGACCAACCGACGAGGCTGCACATGTCGGTTGATGGCAGGTCCAGGCTGACGAACCCGCCGGTTCCTACGGGGTACTTTGGGAACATGATCTTCCATGCTACTCCCACTGCAGTGGCTGGGGAGCTTGTTTCGGAGCCCATCGTTCGAACCCTCGAGAGGATCCGACGAGCGATTGACAGGATGGACGACGAGTACCTGAGGTCTGCTATAGATTACTTGGAGGACCCCATCGACCCGAATGGTGTGATGCAGGTTCCGGAGACCTGTCGGTCGCCGAACCTGAAGATCATCAGCTGGATTCGACTGCCTTTCGAGTTCACCGACTTCGGGTGGGGCAGGCCTACCGATTATCGTCCTGCGAGTTTGTTCGAAGGGAAGGGGAACCTTCTGCCGTGGAATGGAGATGGGAGTCTGTCCCTGGCGATCTGCTTGGAGGCGGATGCTATGGTGTCTTTCCAACAGTTGGTTCATGATGTTGATAGCGGCTGGGAAAAATTCACGGCAAGACTTTAGTATCACGTCAAGAATGAATTCATCTCAACAAGATTCAGATTCAAGATTTTATTGTCAGTGTGAAGAACCGGTTCATCCAAACAATAGCCGGAATGGCTAGGAAAGAACCCACATAAAGTTTGTATATTATTGGTACTATCATTGGTTTCAATATGGAGATTTCAGGTTTGAATTTCAATGTGGACTTCCTCTTCCCTGTACCGCTTTAAGTAACATGTAAAAAAAATTGCTGTGAATTTAATTTATCATTAGCTTAACCTTTCCGAGTAATAATGTCTCTCGACAATGACAGGAAGATCAAAATCAGATTTTTCACTGTTCATGCACCATAATTTACGATATCAAAGTGAAAGGGACACGTCAATTGTATAGTCACTCAGGAATTAATCAGTGATCTATGTACCTGAATGTCCAGTTATGGTGGAAGATCTCCGACCAGATCTTTTGACGTCTTGGTGTTTTCCAAGGTCACGACTCACGAGGTTCAAGTGTGGAGGAGTGAGCCTTGGAACCAGGATCCATCACAGCTTGGGCCAACGGGGAATCAGCTCTGAGCTTCATCAACACATGATCCAACATGGCTCGAGGCCTTCCCCCAGTTGTTTCTCCGTTCCTGGACTCCACCATTCTAATTCTTCGAGGGAAGAACCCACCTTCCCTGGAATTTCATCACTCCGAGTATGAGCCTGCACCAACCCTGATCCACAACCTGAACCAACCTGTAAACACTTCCAGAAAACCACTACCACGGCCACCCTCAGGTTCAAACTGAGCAACTCAATGCCTTGAAAGAGCTGGCAAATCCTGGCACCAAGGAATCCAAGGTCAGGTACAGCACATACCAGATCCTGACGGCCCACATTTGGCGATGCATGAGCAAGGCACGAGGCCTGGCTGATGATCAAACGACGAGGCTGCACATGTCGGCTGATGGTAGGTCGAGGTCTACTCTGCTTGCCACTGTTGGGGAGCTTATTCAGGAGCCAATGTTTATGACCTTGGTGGGGATTACACAGGCAATCAACAGGACGGATGACGAGTACTTGAGGTCTGCTATAGATTACTTGGAGGACACTGATGACCCGGCTAGTGTGATGCAAGTTCCAGGGACCTGTCAATCCCCTTTTACGTATGCTGATTTCGGGTGGGGGAAGCCGTTGTGCCCTGCAAATTTATTCAAAGGGAAAGGAAACCTTCTCTCCAGGAATGCTGATGGGAGTCTTTCCCTGGCGATTTTCCTTGAGGAGGATGCTATGGTGGAATTTCAGAAGCTGGTTCATGATGGTGGTAGTTGTTGATGATCATTGCTGTAAGTACCATGGTTTCAAACTTGTAAACCTCTATTCCAAGGAAGTTTCAACCATCTCCATCAACGACATCAGCTGCAGAGAGAGCAACAGCATGAAAAAGAATCGAACCCAACCATGGAATACAATTGACAACAAGTGATCTATACTCCAAGGTCCATCCACAAACTTACTACATTAGCAAATTAACAGCATTAGAAAGAGTCAGAAGTATTCCATTCAACAAGCTCCAACACTACTCTGTCAAAATATCATCACACGCAAGACTAAGCTGAACAGTCCTTTATGAAAAAACTGTTAGAACAACAAGGCCCTCAGATACCATAGTACTGTTCAGTAGTATCATGAGTGCGGATTATGCTAATGGCAGTTCATAGAAGTCCTCTCGCACCACCACAAGACATTGGAACAGTGTATGTTGCTGGGAAAAGAGATCGATGATGATTAGGAGATCGATAGATGGATGGATAGATAGATATATAGCTAGAGAGGCAGCATGCCAGCATCCATGGCTGTGTTTGTTTCATGAGAGAGAGAGAGAGAGAGAGAGAGAGAGCCATGGTAGTGCAAAAGGACTAGCTATGAACTGAACCATGCAACCTCTCATCAGTAAGTTACATTATCCATCACTGGGCAAAATTAACATATGATTCTCATTAGCAGAAGGTCATTAGACCACCACCCTTGCTTCAAACAAGAAAGACAGGAAAAGGGGGCAAACCACAATTCACTGCAATTGGCTCAGAAGCTCACAATCTCTATCACCTTGAAACTAGTTCTCTATTACCCATTTCAGCACATATTCAAAGACGAATCCTTTAGCATGTTAACAAAGCATGCATTCATTCCATGGCAACATAAAGCAATACTACAACTGCAGATCCACACTTTTTCCTATTCAAAGATACACCCTTTAACTTAAACCCAATAAGCAAGAAGCTAAGATCATTCAATTGGTGAAAATTTCAAAACCAAACATGCCCTCAGATCCTTCCAATCAATGAGAATTTTCAACTGATGGAAATTGCTTTTTCTCTTCTCACTTTTTATACTTCCCCCATTCGTGAAAACCACTGCAGCCACCAGCTAGGGTAAGGGCAGCTGCAGCCGCTAACAACAAGAAGAGGAACCAGTGGACATGATGATGATCATAATAATAAAAATAATAATAATAATGATGGTAACAATAGAAATCATGGCGCATCGGAAGAGAAGAAGAAGAAGAGGATTAGGGAATGGGGGAGAGCTCAAGAGCAACCATGCAATCTCATCATTGGGCAGATTTAGTGAAAATAAACTACTGGAACTACTTCTCTCGCCGCCGCGCAGCGGTGAATTACTGCGGCGGAGGCGTGTCCGGACTCCGATGGATCACGCGGTAGCGACTGAAGGCCGGCGGCGGAGAAAAGTTCGTCGGAAAACTGTTCGATAAAGAAATCGAAGCAGACAATAGGAAAGGGGAAAAATGGAAACCAATACCAGTAAAAGTAGTAATATAGAGTTTTGGACGTTTAGCCCGCATTATCCGAAGGGCCCAAACACATAAAGAAGGCCCAAATCGCAAATCGCATTTTTGAAATTACCATCTCATCCATTTCCTCTTTCCCTGAACACGGATAACTAACAAGAGATTGCAGATCACTGAGTCCGCGCAAAACCGTTAACTCGTTTCGCGGGGATAAACAATGAGCGAACCTAACGACGGCGGAACAACGGCGGTAGCGAAGGAGGAAGAAATCGCCGGCGATTGGGCCGATCTGACTCGAGAGTGCTTGCTGAACGTCCTCTCGAGGCTCTCCGTCGAAGACCGATGGCGAGGACCGATGCTCGTCTGCAAGTCCTGGCTCGCCGCCTCCACCGACTCGTCCCTCCACACCGCCTTCGATCTCGATGCTCGCTTCGATTCCGGGCCGGAGTTCCCCCGCTGGTGGTCTCCGGAGTTTGAGAGGCGGATCGACTCCATGCTCCGCTCCGCGATCGCCTGGAGCGACGGAACCCTATCTGTGATCCGCACCCGACACTGCTCCGACCGATCCATCAATCTCGCCGCCGAGAGGTAACGAAGAGAGTTTCTTTTAACCCTAGAAAATGAATTTTCCATCGAATTATTGTATTGGGTGATTGAGATGATTTGGGGAGGCGATTGGAATTTTAATTTTTCCCCAGGTGCCCTAAGCTTGAGATACTCTCGGTCCAGAGCTCACCGAATGTTACAGACGCATCCATGGCTCGAATCGCCTCGAATTGCTCGCAGCTGCGCGAGCTAGACGTCAGCTTTTGCCACGAGATCTCTCACGAAGCTCTAGCTCTTGTGGGACGCAACTGTCCGAATCTGACAACCCTGAAGAGGAATTTCTACAACTATTTGGATTCTTCCCAGCACCAAAGGAGTGTGCCAAACGAGTACCTCATGGCTTGCCCTCTGGAAGCGGATTCAGAGGCCGCTGCAATCGGGAAGTTCATGCCGGGGTTGAAGCACTTGGAGCTTCGATTCTCGAGGTTAACAGGCAAAGGGATCGCATCGATCTGTGAAGGGTGCTCGAATTTGGAGTTCGTGGATCTTTCAGGGTGTGCTAATGTGTCGGGGAGGGACATTTCGAACTCGACTTTGAGGTTGAAGAATCTGAAGCAGGTGAAGAAGCCGAATTTCTACATTCCCAGGTCGCTGTTCGGGCATTCGGAGAGGTATGGCCACTGGAATTTGTATGATGAGAGGTTTCAGACTGATGTTTTCCGCATCTAGATGATACTCCTGGCGTAAAGCTTGCTGCTTTATGAACTCTGCAGTTCTTGAAGCTTGCGCTGTTTCTCTGCTATCTCTGGTTTTCGCTTGGACGGTGTTGTAGTTTATACTAGTATGTATGTAACGCCTGCCATGAAGCTTCGCTTCCATGGTGGTTGAAGGATGATCTGCCTTGTTCAGCTAGTTCGCTTGCTGTTGAATGTTTCAATGTCAATAATCGTTGCATTTCTCGAATGCCTGAATGATCACTTTTCGAGTACATTTGAGAAGGAACATGTTGAGGTGGGTGACTTGGACGTCTCGTTGATATTCTTAGTCCATACACATCTCACGTCTTTCACTTGTTGTCACAGTCCCAATATGATCATCGCATCACAATAATATAACAAATCATTCTCCTCAATCAATCTTTGGTTTAGTTACCAAGTTTATACAATCCATCGATATCTCATTTATATCATCGTAATAATTTATCACATCAACATCTCATACACATCATCGCAACGAGTCGATCTTCGTGGCCCTGTGGCACACAGTATATAAGCATCACACTAGCTACTTACCTGAAAGGGAAATCTGGGTCTGAGTAAATCTGTAAACTTGAAACGGACTCTTTCGACCTTGAATTTCGATCCTATCACCATATTTTCCCGTCGAAGGGGAAAAACCCCACACCCCATCGGTTTCTTTTGCTTCTTTAGGGTCCGAAGCCGGATGACATCCACGGCTCTCTCGCGAGCAGATGTATCTATCCTCCTTCCATGTCTCTAATTCCATGCTAAAAACGGGCGGTCTGAAGGCGTATAACTGGATCCAGGAATCAACAACGCCGTGTTTCAACATGCACCACATCGAGTAGTTATCGTCACCATCGCGAAACACCGCGAGAATTACCGAATCCTTGAGCATGAAACTCCCTCTCGAAGCCATGAACGTGTCGTTGCGGAGGACCGGGGGCAGAGTTATGTCGGTGTACTCAAATACTTCTTCGACCATGTCGAACGAAAGTGTAAAGCAATGTGCAAAGCATGCATAGAACCAGTAACAGTGGCGCTTGCTCTGTTTCCGATGAGAATCATCGCCATTGCCCCACTGATCATGAGGATCGATACTGTTGGCCCTATCTGTGAGTGTCGCCACTAGACCATCCGGGACGGTTAGTCTCTTCCATGAGTGATTTTTCAAGCTATACACCTTTTGCATTGACAGTCGATCAAGTAAGTTAACACCAAATCAAAAAACAGAGGAAAACAGAGTTGGAGAAAAAACTTATATAAATACCTCAGCAATAGTCACGGTACTTCGCCTCTCGTCCGGAGTAAGATCGTAATCATCGAAATCATCCCATTCTCCGGCGAAGAAGAGTATCCTGGCGATTTTGTAGTCATTGGTTTCGGGATCGAACCCGAAACCGGTGATCTGTTGATGATCAAAGAGGCTGCGCCGAGGAGGGTAGGCGGAGACAGGGAGCAATTTGGTCAGGTCGCCGGATTCCAGAGAATGACATCGGGGGCGCCACCCCTAGGGTTCATCCTGACGATGCAGAATACGCCATCGCAACACCCCGCTACGGTTAGAGAGGTGTTGGGCTCCAAACAGGGCAAATCCCCTGCCGCGGCGGAGGCAGAGGAGAGGGTGTCGTAGGAGAGCAAGGAGTAACGGTAGCCGGGTGCGCCGGCGGCGCGATCTACTCCACTTGTTATCAGAATCTGCTGAAGGGAGGAGTTGTTCAGGTCGTTATATTGAGAATTGTTTGGGGAGAAGAAGAGGATCTTGAGGATGAATTGGGGATCGGACAGGAGAATCCGCCACGATCTGCAGACGCATCGGAATCTGGCGATGCTAGAACCGGTTGGCAGCCTGAGGAGGATGATCTTCATTATGTCTTCTGTCAAGAATACCTGAGAAGAAGCACAGGTGCTGCGGTTGTTTGTCGCCATTGATTGCTTTGTTCACCACAGAGTATCGGCCCGAGGGAAACGCAACGCGAGAAGAAGAAGGTTGCCCTGGGAAAGGGCTCATGCACCCATCAATAATCAAATTTGAACAATTCATTTAGGAAATTCAGATCTAAGGATAGAGATTAAAAATCATTTTTGCTCATATCGTTTATGTTTTAACTCGGATTTTAATTTTTTTTGCACAGATGGAACGAGTTCATCGTGCTCTACAAAATGAGATCAATTTTCAATATTTTTTTAGGAAAAAAAATTCTGGCCTCTCGGTACTAACTGCATACCATATGGTATATTCCTCGTTTTTAATTCGTTTTTGAAAATGTTTGCACGGAAGGGACGAGTTCATCATGATCTATTAGATCTACAAATTTCTAGGTGAACAAATTACAGGATCAAAATATACCACACAATACCATACAATTAAGATAATGACAGATTTACCTTAACATTCAGGGTGCGCCTATGGTGTCTTGCAAGTCAACGTAACTTGCACTTTTCGGTCGACCTCAGTTAGGATTAGGCCGACCTAATCCATTGTTTCAATGTAAAACAGTTTCAGTGGTGCCTACTTTGGAGATTCATATCTTACCGTGGCTCGATGGAAATTGGAGACTAATGGCTTGTTTTGAAGTTGGAGTGTCCCTTTATATATTGAAGTGCTTGGGAGCTCGATAGGAAGTCTCGAAGACCATTTTTGAACCTGATCAAAAGGCTATGCCAAAACTGGGAAACTGTCTGAAAATGGCTAAGTCTGGAAACGTGTTTGTGAAGCCTACTTTGGAGCTCAATTCGAGAAGCATGGATGAGAATCGAGTCCAGCGGCCTCTACCACATGAAGGAGATATGTTTGTCTACAAAGGAAAGGCATTGGACGAAAGATTGGATAACTGGAAGGCTTCAAACAAAAGGCTCGAAGTTGCTTGATTCGGGTCTAAATGTACACATTTTACCCCTCATTTCTTGTCTTATATGCTTAGTTGATCACCATCCCTCGACCTAGTTTACGTTAGGGTGTGCTTATTTTGATACATTTCAGGTCCTAGCATGTGTAGGAAGGTCCAGGGCGAGTTTCAGGTCATTCGGAGGTCAAAACGAGCCAAAATGTGGAAGTTGAGCACTGTTCACGGGTTGGAGCTTTAGTTCATGGTCTTAGATGACCATGAACCGAGCCTAAAACCGTGAACTGACCATTTTCCAGCACGGTTTTGAAAGTCACTGGCTCCCCCCCCCCCCCCCCAATTCACGGTCTCTAAGACCGTGAAATGAGCCCGATCTGGGTATAAAAAGGCTTTTAGCTGAAGGAAAGGAGGGAGCTGGTTTTTGGAGAATAAACACTTTCTTTCTCTAGGGTTTCGACCCAAAACACCAAAGGAGAGTTCTAGAGAGTGAGGGAGTGATCTTGGAGCTTAATTGAAGGCATTGATCGAGCATGGAAGCAAGGAATCAAGCCTAGAAGAAGAAGAAGAAGAAGATCTAGAGGTTTCTTTGTAATATCTCCTCTCTCTCTCTCTCTCTCTCTAGAAACTCACCCTCTTCCCTTGGATTAAGAACCCAGGGTCTAGATTTGGGTTTAATATTGATGTATGTGACACATTCCCTGTTTGATTGATGATTTTACTTAATTGATGGATGTTTCCATGAATGGCATGAGTTTGGATTCCATTTTCATGTATTGAGCTTTTGACCTAGGAGGGAGATAATCCCCTTAGAGCCCCCCTTTTGGAGTCTTCTAGTCACTCCTATCGTATATTGTCCGTGTAATCCCCGAGGGAGTTGACTCGATCGGCCTCTTAGCAATATACGAAACCCTAGGTTGAATAGAGCACCTACCCATCCACCAATTTGCCATTCCGGGCCATTCCCGAGGGAGTCCATCTCCAAACGGTAGAATATTTGAGTCGATCGAACTAGGAGGATACTCAACAACGATCCAAAGGTCGGAAATAGGGGATTTAACCCAAGAGAGCTCCCAAATCTTGTAAATAGCTAGGTTAGTGGTTAGTCCAGGTTAGTTAGCTTAGTTTTACTAATCACCACCCTAGGTTGGGTAGATAGCGAACCCTAAACCTGAAGTAGGGTAAGCCTATATCCCCGTGGTACGATAAATTCTTATTGTTTGCTTTCCCTATGCTACACCTGCTCGACGGTTATACTTGGTCGTCGATTGGAATGTTGTAGTTAGAACGAGTCATTACTACGAAGGAGCCTTCGTAAATATGTTCTGACCCGGACAAAAAGTGGTGTCTACAGTTATTTTATGTATATTTTTGTATCTTAAGAAATCTTCAGTTCAATCGTGAATGAAGCAGTTGCAGCTTGATATTTTCACTCTTTTCAATCTAAGTCCTCGCTTAGCCACTAGCCACCGGTGTGGAAAAGTGTACCACAATGATGCATAGGAAAACATTGCACAAATAAAAAAAATCCATAAGAAGAAATAAGACGCAACTTATAGTACCTTCAACACTCCTTCACTACTACTGTGGATAATAGTGTACCCGTCATTTTCGTTGCTGAAGCCTCGTTGTCGAGTTGCGGATTGGTGTATGAATGTGATGGGGTACGAACCTACATAAACACTTCCATCGTTGAAGGGTTATATGATCCGTGAAGGACCACTAAACCATTCACTGTCGTGAAAACGAGTCAATCGAGCTACAGCATGCTTTGCCTGTATATGGTACCTTCACTACTATCGGAAAAATCAAGTACACATCGCTTCAATTGCTAAAGACTCTTTCACCAGCTTCGGTTCCGATACAAATTGTTGCATTATAGGATTTACGATACTAACTCTACTTTATGAAAGAAATCAACTAAACTTTAGGGTTTTGATACTTCGATTATCTTATTCCTCAACCAAGTGCACAACATATAGATATAGGCTTACAACCAAAGAAACTTGACAAACAAAGAAAACCAACTTAACAATCAATACCAACTTCCCGTATGTAGTCTATCATAAACTACTCCAAATCTGAAATGGAAATTTGGGTCGGAGTAAAACTGTAAGCTTGGAACGGACTCTTTCGACCTTGAATTTCGATCCGATCACCATATTTCCCCGTCGAAGGGGAAAAAAACCCACACCCCATCGGTTTCCTCTGCTTCTTTAGGGTCCGAAGCCGGATGACATCCACGACTCTCTCGCGAGCAGATGTACCTATCCTCCTTCCATGTCTCTAAAAACTCCATGCTAAAAACGGGCGGTCTGAAGGCGTGTAACTGGGTCCAGGAATCAGCAACGCCGTGTTTCAACATGCACCACATCGAGTAGTTGTCGTCGCCATCGCAAAACACCGCTAGAATTACCGAATCCTTGAGCATGAAACTCCCTCTCGAATCCATGAACGTGTCGTCGCGGAGGACCGGGGGCAGAGTTATGGCGGTGTACTCAAATACTTCTTCGACCGTGTCGAACGAAAGAGTAAAGCAATGTGCAAAGCATGCATAGAACCAGTAACAATGGCGCTTGCTCTGTTTCTTAGAGTCATCGTGATCGCCCCACTGATCGCGAGGATCGATGTTTTCGACTCTAGATGAGAGTTTCTCCATTATTAGACCATCCGGGACGGTTATTCTCTTCCACGAGTGGTTTTTCAAGCTATACACCTTTTTTGCATTAATTACCCCACTTGATCAAAGTAAGTTAACAGCAGAGCAAAACAGAGTCGGGAGAAAAAAACTTAAATACCTCTGCAATTGTCACGTCACTTAACGTCTCTCGCGGAGCAATGTCGTACTCGTGAAAATCATCTTCGGGGAAGAACAGTATTCTGGCGATTTTGTAGTCATTGGTTTCGGGATCGAACCCGAAACCGCTGATATATTCATCATTAATGTTCCTGCGCCGTGGAGGCAGAGCGGTGGAAACAGGGAGCAATTTGGTCTCGGAGGTGGCCGGATTCCAGAGAATGACGTCGGGGCCGCCATGCTTCATCTCGACGATACAGAATATGCCGCGGCAACACCCCGCGACGAGTAGAGCGGAGTTGGAGCTGAAGGACGGCAAATCCCCTGCCGCCGTGGAGGCGGAGGCAGGGGAGAGGGTGTCGTAGGAGTGCAAGGAGTAACGGTAGCTTGACGGGGCGGCGGCAGGATCTGCTCCGCTTTTGATTAGGATCTGTTGGTGGGAGGAGGAGTTTTTCGGGCCGGGATTGTTTGGGGAGAAGAGGATCTTGAGGATGAATTGGGGATCGGACAGGAGAATCCGCCACGATCTGCAGACGCATCGGAATCTGGCGATGCTAGAAGCGGTTGGCAGCCTGAGGAGAATGTTGTTCATCATGTCCTCCATCAAGAATACCTGAGAAGCGCCGGCGCCGCTGCTGTTTGTTGCCATTGCTTGGTTGAAGAATTTGCTCACGGCATAGAAGGTGTCGTGGGAAACTCTGGTTTGCCATATAAGGCAAGAAATGTACGAGTTAAATTTAGACTCTGAATCCTATGTTCTTAGGAGGAAAGGAGAGGAAAGGGGGAAATGTGGGGTGAAATACGATTATAACAATCGAATTTTCGTAAACGGTGTCATTTTTTAACCAAATTTCGAAATAACAATCTTTATCCCGAATCGTAGGTGTGCATTGTCATTTGTGTCCTCATGTTTCCTGTTGAGTAGTGACGAAGCTACGTGAACTCTGAATGTTGATGCAAGGTTTTCATGTGTATGTTTATATCTTGAGAAATCTTAGGATCAATCGTGAATGAAGCTATAGCAACTTGTTATTTTCAAATCCTTCTCAATCTAAGTCCTAGCTTAATCACTAGCCACCGGTGTGGAAATGTGGATCACAATGATTTATAGGAAAACATTACATAAATGGAAATTTTTCATATGAAGAAACGAGTCGCTGCTTATAGTACCTTCAACACTCTTTCACTATAATAGTCGGATACTCGTGTACCCATCATTTTCGTTGCTAAAGACTCGTTGCCCAGCTGCAGAGTGGTGTATGAATGTGATATGGGGTACGAACGTACCTAAACACTTTCTTCGCTGCAAAAGGGTTATGAATTGTGAAGGACCACCACCATCACCACCGTGAAAATGAGTCAGCCGAACTATAATGTGCTTGCCTGTATATGGTACATTCACTACTGTCGGATAATCGAGTACTCATAAGTTTCGTTGCTAAAGACTCTTTGCCCAGTTTCGCAGTGGTGTGTGAATGTGATATGGTGTTCATTGCTAACCATTTCCGTCGCTAAAGTGCTTATGGTCTGTGAAGGACCACCACGACCTTGAAAATCAGTCTATAGTAGATTCACTACCATAAGAAAATCGCGTACACATCACTTCAATTGCTAAAGACTCTTTCACCAATTTCAATTCTAGTACCAATTGTGGCGTTGTAAGATTTACGAATACTAATTCTAACCTAGAAAAGAAATCAACTAGTTTAGGGTTTCGATACTTCGACATTCTTATTCCTCAACCGAACTCACAATACATAGATAGTCTTGCAACCTAAGAAACTTGTCAAACAAGGGAAAAACAACCTAACAAGGAAACCAACTTCCTAACATAACAATGAAAGAAATAAAAGCCATAACAACTCATTCAGCAATTCTGCTTGCAAACCGGAATCATACTACAAATCTGAAAGGGAAATCTGGGTCGGAGTAAAACTGTAAGCTTGGAACGGACTCTTCCGACCTTGAATTTCGATCTGATCGCCATACTCTCCCGTCGAAGGGGGGAAAACCCACACCCCATCGGTCTCTGTTTCCCCTGCATTTTCAGGGTCCGAAGGTAGCTGACATCCACGGCTCTCTCTCGAGCAGATGTACCTATCCTCCTCCACTGATCATCATAATCGATGTCGTTGGCGCTATCCGAGAGTATGGCCATTGGATCGTCCGGGACGTCCAGTGTCTTCCACGAGCGGGTTTTTCAAGCTGTACACCTCAGCAATTGTCACGGTACATAGGTCGGTGAAGAACAGCATTCTGGCGACCTTGTAGTCGTTGGTTTCGAGGTCGAACCCGAAACCGGTGACCTGTTGATGGTATCAATCGAGGAAGATGATGACCAGAACCTGCAAAGCTGAAGTGCAGAAGATACAACTGAAGCAGAGGAAAGCCAACCCAAAAACGAAACGTTTCTGGGTTCCCTCCACTCAACTAAAGACGAAGAGCCAAAGCGACGCCGTTGTGGAGACTCGGAGTTAACCGTTGAGTGGACTTTTACTGGACGATGACGAATCGCCACCTGGCGTTTTACAATTACTGTAATTTGAATTTCCGTTTTCCATTTTCTGTTTCCTCTGGTTTTGTAACGTGAAGAGTACATTTCTGGTTTGATATAAAAGACAATGCAGAGAGATCACTTGCTCTCTTGCGCATTTCCCCACCTTTGTGTGTCGTCGTCTTCTTCCTCTAACCCTAGTTGTAGCTAGTTTGATATGGTATCAGAGCGGTTGCTTATCCAGTAACCTGCAATGGTGACGACACCACCACCAAACACACCTCCGGGAGGCATCCCCTTCGGCTCGTTCTCAGGCACTACGAGTGGAGGTTCCAACACCAACAACAACGATCGTCCAGATCCCCAATTCGGTAACCCTTTCTACATTAACCCAAATGAAAACATCTCTCATACCATCGTTTCAGAGGTTCTCGATGGACCCAACTACCAGATGTGGTAGCGAGCCATGAGAATGGCTCTGAAGACCAAACACAAAACTGGTTTTATAGATGGTTTGATTCCATCTCCAGGAGTAGCTAGTCCTAATTTCAGTACATGGAATGCTTGCAATACTCTTGTTTTATGCTGGATCTTGAATTCTGTTGACAAGGAGATTAGGAGAAGTGTGATGCAGCATGATGTAGCTCGTGATTTGTGGGAAGAGCTTAAGGCTCGGTTTGGGTATGCAAATGCCATTAAGCTGTCTAACCTGGGAGACCAAATTATTGCTTGTAAGCAAGGAAACCTCAACGTTACCCAGTACTACACTGTCTTGAAAGGTTTGTGGGAGGAGCATTTGCAATTCAATCCCATCGTTGACTGTAATTGTGTTCCACAAAGGACTCAACCCTGTGCTGCAGTTGAGGCTTTCAAACAAAAACATGAGGTTGATTATCTGATAAGATTCTTGAAAGGACTTAGACCCGAATTTGATGTGGTTCATACTCAGATTTTAATGATGAAACCACTCCCCACAATTGAAGTTGCAATCAATGATGTGTTGCAACATGAACAAAAGTTGAAGGCAGATAAGGGGATCACGAGAGGTGTCCAAACAATAGCTCTGGCTGTCCAAGGAGATGCCCAAGATGGGAAGAAATTCGATCGTTATTGCAAAAAGGATGGACATGTGAAGGAAGAATGTTGGAAACTGAAGAACAAAAAGCTCAGAATGTCTGGAGGAGTAGCAGCAGCAGTGTCTCATGGTGAGTCTTCCAATGACAGTGATATGTCGAGCTCAGACTCTAAGATCAACTCTGAATCCAGAAGTGTGTCTTCCAAGGAGAATATGAGTTTCTCATCAGAGGAACTCAGTAAGCTGAGGTACCTGTTGCATAGTGTTCCTTCTCCTAGTCCCTCTCCACCAGCTTCTCCTTCAGTGAATCATCAGGCTTTCTCAGTCACTCATGGGGTTTCTCAGTTCCCAAACTATGCTGGTAAGTTCATTCTGTCATCCTTTATGCAGCATAGAACAGAATCTTTCACTCAGACTTGGATATTGGACATTGGGGCTTCTGATCATATAGCTTGCAACATTAATTTGTTCAGTGAAGCTATTCCTGTTAATGATCAATTTGTGAATTTGCCTAATGGGACTAAAGTTGTGGTTAGTCATATAGGAAAGGTTCAACTCTCTCCTGACCTAGCCTTAGACAATGTTCTCCTAGTGCCAAGTTTCACCTTTAATCTCATATCAATTAGCAAATTGACCAATGATCAACCCATCTCATTGCATTTTGAATCTGATTCTTGTCAAATTCAGGACCTGGTGACACAGAAAAGGACTGGTTTGGCAAGATAGAGTAGGGGCTTGTACCAGTTACACACCAAGAACAAAGTTCCCCTCTTACCTGTTCCACAAGCAGCTTTTTCCTACAACTTTCAACCACAAAACATTTCCCTTTGGCACTGGAGACTAGGACATCCCAGCAAAGACAAAGAAAAACAAGCATTACCTTGTAATAGTGATGTAGTTTCCCATTGCCAGACTTGTCATTTTGCTAAGCACAAACGCCTTTCTTTCCCTGTTAGCACTAGTAGAGCACTGGATGCATTTGAATTAATCCATGTAGACATATGGGGGCCTTTGGCTGTGAAGTCTCATGATGGATTTTCATATTTCTTAATTGTGGTGGATGATTATTCTAGAGCTGTGTGGGTGTCCTTGATGAAATTTAAATCAGAAGCAGGATCTTTATTGCAATCTTTTTGCACTATGACTGAAAGACAGTTTTCTAAAAGGTTAAGATTGTTAGAAGTGATCAAGGTTCTGAGTTTCACATGACTGAGTTTTATAGTACTCATGGGATCATACATCAGCAGTCTTGTGTAGAAACTCCAGAACAAAATGCCAGAGTAGAGAGGAAACACCAACATATCCTCAATGTTGCCAGATCACTTAGATTTCAGTCTGGAGTCCCCCTCAGGTTCTGGAGTGATTGCATCCTGCATTCTGTGTACCTCATAAACAGGCTTCCTACATCAGTTTTAGCTGATAAGTCTCCTTTTGAGGTTCTGTATAACAGACCACCTAATTTGAATGGTTTGAAGGTCTTTGGATCCCTTTGTTATGCATCTACTTTGCATAGGGACAGAACTAAATTTGATTCTCGGGCCAGACAGTGTATCTTCCTTGGATATCCTAGTGGTATCAAAGGTTTCAAGTTGGTTGACCTGGATTCTCATTCTTTCTTTGTTTCACGAGATGTGTCTTTTTATGAGTCCATCCTTCCATTCTTTTCTTCTACTTCTACACCTTCCATTCCAATTCCACCTACTTCAGACCCCATTTTTCCCAATCATCAACCTATTCCTCCTTCTGATCACACTCTTCCATCTACCTCATCAGCCTGCAAACTCAGTTATACCTCCTCAAACCCTTTTTCCTTCTTCTTCTCCTTCTATTCCTTCTTCTACACTACCTGTCTTGTCCACATATAGTTTGCCAGACAGTAATGTCAGTTTGCATTCTGAGGGGGAGGATATGGAGATTGAGGTGTTTCCTGAGTCTAATGATACTGATGAGGCAGAATTCTTAAGGAAATCCACCAGGCACCGTTCTAAACCAATCTGGCATAAGGACTACCATATCAGTTTTGTAGCTACCAGTTCTAAACATCATATTGGTCATCAGATCAGTTATGAGCATTTGACTGCTTCTCAGAAAGCTTTTGCTCTCAGTGTATTGTCTATAGAGGAACCTACTTCCTATGCTGAGGCCTGCAAGGATCCTAGGTGGAATCAGGCTTGTAAGGAAGAAATATTTGCCTTGTATGAGAATCAAACTTGGGAAGTTGTTAAATTGCCAGCAGGGAAGAAACCTATAGGTGCTAAATGGGTTTTTAAGGTTAAATATAGATCTGATGGTGCCATTGAGAGATTTAAGGCACGTTTAGTAGCTAAAGGCTACACCCAGATCTATGGCATAGACTTTCTTGATACTTACTCACCAGTTGCAAAAATCAACTCTGTCAAAACATTACTAGCAGTTGCAGCTTCTAAGGATTGACACATTCATCAAATGGATGTGTCCAATGCCTTCTTACATGGAGATTTGGATGAAGAGGTATACCTCGAAATACCTCCTGGAGTTGATGTTCCCAAAGATTCTGGTGTTTAAGCTCAAAAAATCGTTGTATGGTTTAAAACAAGTAAGCAGGCAGTGGTTTGCCAAGCTTATTGCTGCTTTACTGAAGAATGGCTACTCACAAACAGCATCAGATTATTCAATGTTTGTGAGATGGATACAAGGAAGAGTAGTGGTTGTCCTTGTGTATGTTGATGATATTCTGATTGCGGGACGTTATCTTGGGGACATTGAACAACTGAAACTGTTTTTGAGTAAGGAATTTAAGGTGAAAGACCTTGGACAAATGAATTACTTCTTGGGTCTGGAAGTGATTAGAGATCATAAAGGGATCTCCGTTAGCCAGAGAAAATACTGCCTGGAGTTACTTGATGATACAGGTTTTGTAGAGGCTAAAGGGTGCTTGACACCTGTTGATTGTAATGCCAAGCTTTCAGCAGAACAAGGAGAACTTTTGCCAGATCCAAGTGTTTACAGAAGATTGATAGGGAAGTTACACTATCTGACCATTAAAAGGCCAGACATTACATATGCTGTCCAGCAATTAGCTCAGTTCCAATCAGCTCCTTGTGTTGAGCATTTGCAAGCTGCTCATAGAGTGATCATATACCTGAAGCACACCATTGGTCAAGGACTGATTTTCAGAGCAGATTCAAAGCTTGAGTTGTCTGGTTTTTGTGATGCATATTGGGCAAGTTGCCCTGATTCCAGGAGGTCATTAACTGGTTACTGTACCTTCTTGGGATCCTCATTGATTACATGGAAAACAAAGAAACAGACTACTGTTTCCAAATCCTCTTCAGAAGCTGAGTACAGAGCTTTGGCTCAAGTTGTTTGTGAAGTTCAGTGGCTGAGGAATCTGTTATCTGAAATGGGAGTAAAGGTACCATTACCCATACCTCTTTACTGTGACAATAGGTCTGCATTGCATATAGCTGAGAATCCAGTTTTTCACGAGAGTACGAAGCACATTGAGATTGATTGCCATGTTACAAGGGAAAGGATAAAATCTGGTTTGGTTAAGTTGCATCATGTGAGAACTGATGATCAGGTTGCAGATCTGTTTACTAAGGGAATGTCCCGATATCGATTGAAGTTTTTATTGGACAAGCTGGGAGTAAGCAATGCATACTCGCCAGCTTGTGGGGGAGTATCAATCGAGGAAGATGATGACCAGAACCTGCAGAGCTGAAGTGCAGAAGATACAACTGAAGCAGAGGAAAGCCAATCCAGAAACGAAACGTTTCTGGGTTCCCTCCACTCAACTAAAGACGAAGAACCAAAGCGACGTCGTTGTGGAGACTCGGAGTTAACCGTTAAGTGGACTTTTACTGGACGAATGACGAATCGCCACCTGGCATTTTACAATTACTGTAATTTGAATTTCTGTTTTCCATTTTCTGTTTCCTCTGGTTTTATAACGTGAAGAGTACATTTCTGGTTTGATATAAAAGACAATGCAGAGAGATCCCTTGCTCTCTTGCGCATTTCCCCACCTTTGTGTGCCGTCGTCTTCTTCCTCTAACCCTAGTTGTAGCTAGTTTGATAGATGGCGCCAGAGGCTGCGCTGTGGAAACAGAGAGCAATTTGGTCTCTGAGGTCGCCGAATTCCACAGAATGACGTCGGGGGCGCCGCCCCACGCGTTCATCTCGACGATGCAGAATATGTTCGGGTAATTAATTTCTAAATTCTAATTAGTACCCAATTTTTGGCAACTATCTCTCTCAAGAATGGTAAGTACGAGTGATAGATTGGGAGAATATCAAGTAATTAACTTCTAATTAGTACCAATTATTTGGCAATGAACTCTCCCAAGAATGGCAAATAATTTGTACGTATACAGACTGCGACAATCGCAAGTAATTGATTTCTAATTACTACTAATTTTTGGCAATTAATTCTATCAAGAATGGCAAGTAATTAATTTGTACGTGTGATACATTGGGAGAATGACAAGAATTAATTTCTAATTAGTAGCCAATTTTTGGCAATTAATTCTTCCAAGAATGGCAAGTGAATTGGGAAATTTTCCGAAAATACCATAAAAATCTAAAAAATACCAGAAATATCACTAATTCCCAAAAAAAAAAGTAAAAAATAACACTATTTTTCATAAACCGTTGGGTGAGGTGTTGTTTTCGAAAATGGCGGCTGAAAATCGCCAGGTCAGAACGGTCTGATAAATCGCGGGAGGTCGGGCCGGTTAACATGCAAACCACTGCCCCCATGTGGTTTGTATTAATATATTTTTTTAGGCTAAATTACACGTTTGGTCACTCAAATTATATAAATCTTTCACCTTTGCCACCCGAATTACTTTTCTTTCTTATTCGCCACTAACTTTATAAATTGTTTCACCGTTAGTCACCGGCCGTTAATCTCCGTCAAATTCTGTTAACTCCGTTAACTTTTTGATGATGTGGCAAACAGAACTATTGAGTGGGCTCACAAAAAAGCTGAGTCATACAAATTGACCGCCTAGTCAGCCACATCCAATCCAATTGACCAAAACTTAATATTTAATTTTTCTGCATTTTCTTAAGAGCTAAAAAGAAAAAGAAAATTAAATCACAATCCTTCTCATCCCCTCATTCGTATTACCCTTCCACTTCTCCTTCTTCTCCTCCACTCGCCGCCGTCCGAATCATCTGAAAGAAATCCCCAAAGGCCCAAACCCTTGAGACCTCCACTCAACCTTCCTCTGTTCTTCGTCCAAGAAGCGCCACTCCGTCGCCGTGTTGATCGAGGGCAACAACATCAAGCTCGCCTCTGCCGGATCCGAGAGCGTTCGCTAGCTGTGGATCTCGCAATTGAAGCCGATGTTGGGGATCCCGCCATCTCCCCACAGCCGTTGCCGCCTTAAGCTATCTTCCCTCGCAGGCCCCTTCCATCCGAGCTTAGGCAGCATCCGTCTCCCTAGCCGTCAATCGCCTCGATGGCTCAATCCCTCCTTCATTTTCGACCCTCCAAACCTCCAGCTCCTCTCGAAATTCCCTTACCGGAACCATCTTCATCCCTAAATCACCCAGTCCTGCATTGGTACAGTCTATCGACCCCAGTCACAACTTGCTATCCGGCCAAATCCCCACAAGCAAAATCCCGAGTAGCTTCCCCACATCGGATGGAGTCGACGACTTCTCAAACATCCCTTCCTTTTCTATCATCATCGCCCCTTTTTTCCGCGTCCAATTCGTCGTCTACTGTGGAGGGGATGAGTCGTCGTGGTTGAGATTGAAATTGAGGGCGGCGGAGAAAGGGGATGGGTTTTGGTTGTGGGCAACAGAGGTTGATGGTGGCGAGTGGCGACGACGGATCGTCTCCGCCCCTCTTTCTCTCTGACCCGGATCCCCAATTCTCCAATTCGAAAGACGCGACTTCTGAGAGCGAACGGTGTTCCGAGGCGGAGGATGGCGACAATGCGTAGGGGTGGTAGGGATTGTCTGGCCTAGAAGAGAGAATTGGTTCAAGGGCACGGGATTATCTGGCCTCCGTAACTACATGGGGCAGCTTAGACCCGTCGGTGGTTGTAGCCGGCGGGGCGGTGGAAGGCGATGGCTCCATTTCCAGAGGTCGGCGATGGATGGAAGAGGAAAGGGGATTTCGAAATTGTACTATTGATTGGGTTGGGTGAGGCTGACCAGGCGGTCAAATTTTTTTTTTTTTTAATTACATGTCACTAAGTTAACGGTCCAGTCAGCATTTCTGTTTGCCACATCATCAGAAAACTGACGGAGTTAACGGTGTCTAACGGAAACTAACGGTCGGTGACCAACGGTGAAACGATTTGTAAAGTTAGTGGTGAATAAGAAAGAAAAGTAATTCGAGTGGCAAACGTGAAATATTTATGTGATTCGAGTGACCAAATGTGTAATTTAGCCTTTTTTTTAATTTCAATTCTAACATAAGCCGAAACTTCAAACGGACGTAACTTTGTGTTCGGGTATCCGAAGCAATTTTTTTGATTCCGCATAACTTTTTGAGATCTTGCAAGCCGCAAACTACCGTAGGCGCTTTGGTCTCACCTTCACCCTGAAAAAACGTCGTTTGCTACCCCGAACGAGGTTTTTTCCGATTTCGCAAAACTTTTGACATGCATAACATTGTGCTCCGCACTCCAAAAGTCATGAAATTGTTTTTTATTTCGTATAACTTTTTAAATACCTTGGCCACTATCGTCGGGTTCATTTCACTGTATGGATGCCTTTTTCGGGTCATTATCAGGTTTCGGTTTTTCGAGTTTAACCGAAACCGAACTAGTTAAAGATTGTCGGTTTGACACCGCCGTGAAAACTGATAACGATAAGAGAAAGCATTCATGTTTGGATTGAGTTAAACCCGAAATCGAACTGACAGACCTACTTCGAACAGAGATACCACATAAAACTCGTTGTCTCATGTTCCTTTTCTTCCGCGTTATCAAATTCTTATTCACTAACATTAGCAAAATGAAATTACATCATAGAACCCCCACAAAAAAGAAGTTGCAAGAGGGAAAGATATGTTTGACTAAGCAATGGAAAATTGGAAATGGCCAAGATCTCTCGAGAATTGAACGTTAGCACAGAGAGATCATCGATCAACTGAAGCCGAGAAAGAGAAGCATCGTTATCATCATCATTCCACCGGCTGACGGAAACAGAGACGACATCGATCTGAACATCGCCGAGTCTCCTCCGCCGCTTCGCCGCTGGTTAGGCTGTCGGAGCACATCTGCGCCGCCGTAAGCTCCCTTCCCGGCGCCGCCTTTCCCGCCTTTCCTCTCCGTCTCTTTCAGCCTCTCTCCTCCTTCACCCATTTCATCATGATCTGCTGCCATAGGAATCATCATGATAAGGAACTGACCAGTGACCATAGAACAATGAAGTTTTTAGGGAAGACTCTGCTTACCCTCTAGATGCAATGCTTTCGCGGGCGGATGACGATGAGCTTGAGTGTCGTTGGCAGAGCTGCTGAGTTCAGATGCATAACAGGGTAGAACAAGAAGTCCACTGGAAACAAGGAGGAGGAGGAGTAGCAGCAACGGAACAGAGTCTCTGTTCTTCATGTTACAGAGCACTCTGTTTTCTTGCCTGTGTAACAGGGGAGGAGGAAGGTGAAGAAAGAAATGTGGTCGTTTCTGGTTACTGGCTAGCTGGCTAGTTAGTTTATCATTATATTGAATTCCTGGCTAGTGAGGCAAGGTATGGAAAGAACAGAGGTTTTTGTATAGCTTGAATCTCACGAGTGAAGAGAACATGTTCGGGATCTCCGAATTGAACGATCGTGAAGAAGTAAAAAGGGCAAGTTGTGTATATATAATTCAGTTAATGCTCCAAAGTCATAAACTTTCAGAAAGTATAAAACTGAGAAGACAAAGGGGGTAATTGAGAGAGGAAATTTGTCATTGCACAAATACATTTGTTAATATTTTTGGGTGCCTGGTTTAGGCATAGTTTAACAATAAATTAAATGTGGCTCCCTAGTACCACATTTAATTTATGGGATAATCCAAGTACCACATCGGTAATATAAGGGAAGGAACTCTTATATATTAGTGTCACTGGCGGATTCAGGGGGTGGCCACCCCGGGCCCCGGCCCAGCCCTCTTCTGGATTCGTAGTTAGTATAATCCTTATGAAATTTTCGATTTTAGACATTCGACCCAGTGTTATTTTATAATATGATTGGGTTTAACTAGAAAAATTATCAAGTTGAACATATTCAAACCACTACTCTAAATTTAGTCTAGAAATTTAAGCCCCAAAGATTATGCATCTACAAAAACCAGAAACCTAAAATTCTAAAAAATTTAAAACGTAAAAGACTAAAAGAAATATGAGATTTGTTCCCTTGAAAATTTACTAGAGCAACTAGTGTGCAGGGATGGACACACAATGCAAATTGATTAGTCGATTGATTTATCTAGTGTTGATGCTACTCGTTTCAACAGCTACTATGAAGAGAACCTTTTCAACAATGAAACATGTGAGAATTGATTTGCCCAACAAAATGAGCAATGAATTTCTCGCCAATTGCTCAAGTATTTTATTTGAAACCGTGTATACTATTGGTATGGATGTAGACTCCTTGATGCATTCTCTAAATTAAAATACAGTCGTTTACAATTTACATTGCAAAACCTATAATCATTATATTTTATTTACGGTTCTAATTTTCTAATGAAATGCGGCCCAGTGCTCTTCTGTGTTCTGGATCCGCCGCTGATTAGTGTCCACTAAGTCCATTAGTATGAGGCCTTTTGGGAAGGACACCCAAAAATAAAATTGTGCGGACTTGACCCAAAGCGTACAATATCGTACTAACACTTTTGTTAATATTTTTTGGGTGCATGGTTTAGGCATAGTTTAAGAATAAACTAAATGTGGCTCGCTCGTTGTTTGAACGGTATTAGTTTTCAAACTAAATGTGACACCCAAAAGTAAAATTGGTCGGGCTTGACCCAAAGCGGACAATATCGTACTAACACTATTGTTAATATTTTTTTGGTGCATGGTTTAGGCATAGTTTAAGAATAAACCAAATGTGGCTGGCTCGTTTGAACAGTATTAGTTTTCAAAATGAATATGTTGGTAAAATTTATAAGTGTGTTAAACGATGGTCTGTTGTCATTTGTCTTGATAGCACTGTATTCATTTTGTATGTAATCGTGAGAGATGTGTTTGCGAAAACAATTATTTAGTTCAATGCGACAATGCGATCTCCATTTTACATATTGCAATTCCAAATTCGTCATCATATCATTAGACAACTGAATGATTTCAATTTCAACTACTTGGAGGTACGAAATATTCGGAAAGTGACTCTATATAAGTGAGTTCCACATATCATTTTCACTTTACAGATACAATTCAAGTAGAGATGCACTCAACCTAATAACATGGAATCGAGCCAAATGACATCAATTTGTTCATCTTACTACTAAAATAAGTAACTTGAGAATCTAAAGAGAGGAGAAGAGACCTAAAAAAAAAATGTTTGTTTTGAGTTTTGACAAATCAATCACATGCTTGCTTTTGCTTTCCAGGGCCAACAGAAAAAGAATCTGCTACTTTGAGTGGATGAATAGACATGCAGAAATAATAGCATAATTAGGACGGCAAAGATCTAAGGCAAGAATATGTTCTTTACAAGCCAGCTTTGCTTTCTGATGTCAAAGATCCTCTAAAGAGACAGTTCAGCCATACATTAAGGAATTAAACTATGGGTTCCCACAATCTTGCTACCACTTACAACTTCACATGTGGTATGGCAGAGCAGTAGCTTTCCCATGTTAGTTGAATAGATCATCAAGGAGCTGATGGTTGAGCTTCTGGAATGAAGAATCTCGGCAGACTTGCTTCGCCAGTTCGTTGGCAACTCGATCCACGTAGAGAGCCTGTGCCTGCGCTCCAGAAGCTGCAGCGCTTTCCTGGCGTGGAGAAAGGATTCCACCCACCCTTCCATCAGCCCTGCGTCAATGACATTATGAGTTTGTTCACTCCCTATTCGTCGAAATTGGAATAGTTATGGTTGGGGAGGATAATGTACTGTCTACCATTGTTGAATCGGTCTGTACTCGACCATGCTTGAAAGTGATCCGAGACCAGAAACTCAATCAACTCAGGATCCTGTCACAAACAACAGAGTTATAGCATTGGTATAGCAATGCCACTTCTTTTGAGCAGTGAAGAATATGCTTGCGAAAAATTGGATAAGAGGATTTTGAAGGGTAGAATGGAGTGTACATAATGAATAGAGACTGGTGAATGTTTGGGAATGCGTCGTCGAATGGATCGATACAGAGAAAATTCTATGCTGTTGTGGATACCCTTTCGCAGACTGAAAGAAGTGTGCGCTGTCCAATGTACGGTTCACTTCCCAGCTTACGCAGCAAGTGCTGGACTTGAGACCGGTGATCAATGGCGACACGATGGGAGTCTGCAATAGGATAATACTATGACTTGTGAGCGATCAAGACATGATAGAAACCCAGAAATGCAAGCCAAGAAGAAGGTACCATCTCGATGTGCAGGGCAACATATCCTTCTCAGCAAGCGAACAATTAGGCTGTTAACGATGCCTTCAGCTAGTTCCATGTTCTCCCCCACTGATAAGATCTTTCTAATGGAGTCTGCACGCGCAAGAACGAACACAGGCGTGTGACTTGCCCTTCCTTAAGATCTCCGAGAACGCTAGCCAACAAGAGATGCCATTTGTGTACTTAGAATGGAATCAACAGCCTGGTGAGACCAGCGAAATTGGCCTCCTCCATCTGCAATTTCAGATATAAGATATCCACCGAGCCCCATTCATACCTAGAGTGGAATCAATCATGAACAAGTTCATATCTAGGAAATGAGAAAGATCTGAAGTCCATATCAAGCACTAAGCAAGACTCATTCATACAGGAAATCAACGGAAGCCCTAAGCTGATCCACTTCATTTTCACTGCTCAACTCTACAATCATGCACAAACCCTCAATAAACATTTTCCATAATCTTAGAACGGGCAATTCGAGCTAATCGAAATTGAGCACGGGTACCTGGAAAGGGCAATCTAAGACTTGGATCGTCCCTATTTCGCAGCCTGTGCTTCATTCTCACTGCAGCAAATAGGCAACAGCAATCAAATGAGGGCAAACAAACAAGAAGTATGGCAATCAAATGAGCGCATAGCGAGAATTTAAGACCTTGTCTGAAGAACCAGCGACGGAGGACATCGTTGAATCTAGAAACGGAGCCATCTCCGGCGTCCTCGAATCGTAATTTCCCCACATGGTCAAAGAAGTAGCACGGCGGTTTGGGGAAACAAATCACACTGAGAAGAAGCATCTAAAAAAGTACCAAACCAAAGCAGACATTCTCGACTCAGGGATTCTCGAGCTTGAATTTCTCTCCAGGAGAAGGAAGAAGAAAGCAGGAAATCAGGAAAAAAAAACCTTCGGCTTCCTTGAGATCCTCTCTCTCAATCGGGCAATCTCCTGTTTCCGATCCTCCGCCTAATCAAAAGCCCCGATAAGACTACGGCGAGCTTCAGTTGTTCCTCGGTCGACGATGATGCGTTCGCCGTCGGCTCGCCAGCGGCCATCTATCTACACAATAAATAAAAGCCAAATGAAAAAACTTGAAGCCTCATTTCAAATTTCCTGCTCAAGGAGCGTTTGTAGGAAGGGTAGAATAGGGACTATTAATTTTTTTTCTTTTTCCTTTATGGAACAGACTAACTTACCGTACACATGCGGATTTAAACGGGTCCAAGAGTGTCAATTTGTTTTCTTTAAGTCATTTTATTTCTCCGTGGTGGTAAAATATATATGAAAAGACAAAAACAATACTTCTTTTTATTGCTAAAAGAAAAAAATTAAAAATAAACTAATGCATTGATTCTAATGGGCTAACCGCTAATCGTAAAATAAAAGAGTTGAATGGGCCTGACCTACACGGGATTTGTCCATCAAGTAAAACAAATGAACATCATGGGTTTGCCATTCTAAAACAAGCTATTTTCTCCAGCATAATATATATTATGCTATTATTTTATATCTTAGTGGCTAAAATATAATGTATTTTAAATTTATTCAATGGTTCAACCTCGACCAACCCAATTAGTCCAATTTTTATCATTTTAAATATATATTATGTAATTATTTGATATCATAATGATTAAATTATAGTGTATATTATAGGTAATCGTTTGGTATTTGTTAGTAAAAAACTAAACGGAAAGATCTATTTGGTTATTTTTAACATTAAAACGATCCTAAACATTTTTCAGTTTCCTTTCGAAATTCTATAGTTTTATTCCCGAATCAGTGATGTGCAAATGGCGAATTGCAGTCATCTCTTTTCTTTCATTATTTTTTATTTAAAATAGAAAGTTTAAATGTAAAGAATAATTAGAGTTTGGCATGGGTCGGTCAAACATGCTGAATTTCAAGTTTTGGCCCGTTTTGATCAAGTCTAATTTATAGTCACATGGTTCCCTGATACCCGATAAAAATCTCATTCCAAACCAGTTTGGCAGGTGAGTCCGTGTTTACCACCATTTTCTAGGGATACAGGAAAAGTGGTTCCTATCCAAAATCGTGTTGTTCATTCTTGATTTCTTTAGATTTTATCATGGCTAGGCAAAAAACCAGAAAGCACAATGATGACAAGATGAAAGTTTTATAAAGCAAATTAATCGGCCAACGGGCCGAGTAAAAGCTAGCAACGATTGTGAGATGCTCATTTCTCGAAAATCGGCGGGATAGACGATTTTTTATTCGATTTTCTGGAATTTGGTTTCTATTAAACTTACTCCACCTCATCATATTATCAGAAACAATATTGTTTCACAAGGTAACAGATACTTGATTTTGGTTCATAAGGCTGATTTTTGATTCGTTGCATCATTCATGTATCTTTCCTACTTAAATTCACTATTTTTATCACGTGTTTGCAAAAAAAAAAACTATACAACAATAAGCTATACACCCCATTACATTATCAAATTTCATACCTCACCTTCCTCCGACCAAATGGTCGGGGCCACGCTAGTTCTCTTCTAGAGTTCGAAAATCGGGCGGGAACTCTCTGCCTGCCTTTCGAAACTCCATTGGTCGTGTCATGTTGTTTGGTTCTCTTTTTCTATTTCATGCCGCCCTAGCTAAAAATAAAAGCTGGGCTGAAGGTAATTTTGGGCCGACTATCTCTGTTTGAACCTATAGCCCATGAAAGAAAGGCGGCCCAATTCCCAGTAATGTCATTTCGTCAATTTGGCCGTTGTAATCTCTAGCATCGTGTTAGACTTCAACATATCGTCACAGTATGGCCACAGAGCACTGAAGAACTTTGCCACTTTAGTGATCATCGTATTGACTCTTAAATATTATCCATAGTAAAACACGATTGGAATGCATTACAGTATTAATACGAACAGGGTTTTACTACGAAGATCTTACTCGCTAAAACGAACAATTCGATTGTACTAAATTGTTCTACTAACGAGAAAAGCTACAACCAACACAAAATCAAATCCAGAAAGAAAGAAAGAAACTACCAAATTCATTATAAAAAAATCCCATATCAGTCATTAAGGATTTATGGTTCCCTTTTGACCTCAAATAACACACCTATCATTGTCTCCGGTAGGGGCAAAAAAGGAATAAAAGATGAAGCAAATATACAACTAAAATTAAAAACAAAATTATCAAAAAATAGAGGAAAATTTTTGACCTGTTCTTCAAAAGAGAGAAGGCTTCACCCGCCTTATGAAAAATAGTACAAAGGTTTCTTTTCTGCTTGCCTCACAGCAAAAAAAAAAAAGGTAACAAATAAAAAAGGGTTTGTAGTTTTTTTCTCCAGACTGAGCACAAAAACAGAACCAGTTCTTCCATCATCAATCATTCATCATCATCACTAGAACAAACTCTGGCAAGCCTCAACATCAGCCGATTGCGAGTCCAGTATGCCTTGGTTGCTCGATTTCACGGTCCTCACCGCCGCCTCGAGCACCAACTTCTGATACATGTCATCCTCCATCTTCTTCAGCATCTCGTGCACCGCCTTGAAGTCGAGAACCCCGGCCAAGATGAGCTTCCCGACGATCTCCCCGAAGTTTGGGGGCGCCCTCGGCAGGTCGATCCCGATGTCGTCCAGCATTGTCGCGTAGAGCATGCAACCTGTGGAGATGTCCCGACTAGCGAGCACCTTCTTGGATGAGAGGTACTCGAGGAGCTTGAACGTGGGGTCCACGCAGGGAGGGTTCTCTTCGAGCCCAAGGGCTATGGCTTCCTTGACAAGTTCACAGTGGTATCCGGGGGAGTTGAGCTCCTCGACGCACTGTAAGGCTTCGTCGAGCAGTCGGATACTGAAGTACTCCTTCAGGATCGAGACTGTCTTTTTCCTCAGCTCTTCGACATTCATCGTAATTTTTCCAGCTGATGATGGTACAGGAGTAGGAGTGACGGATGGGACAGGAGCAGGAGTGACTACTGGCTTCTCAATGAATGCAGGCTTCTCGGAGACAGGAGCAGGCCCCCCGAGTCCTTGCAGGAGGGCGCTGCTCTTGCCACTGATGAATCCGCCGCTGCCTTGAGGCAAGAATCTGGTGTTCATCGAAGTCGACTTATTGAACATCTGGGGTGGTTGAACAGTACGAGGCTGAGCATTCGGGGGTTCGCCCCTTGGCATCGATCGGGTTCTCGGCATCTCCCAGTTATTGGCGTCCATGCCAGGCATACCAGGCATTCTCCTTGCTCCAGGCATTCCAGGCATCATGCCACCTGTCCCCGGTCGGTTCATGGGGAAACCACCAGGGCCGCCAGGGCCGGGCCCAGCAGAGATGATGCCTCCACCTCCGGCTCCGCCTGCACGGCTAATGTTTCTCATGCTGCCTGGCCGCAACCCCAGATTCTTCTCAGCCTCCGAATGGATCTCAGTAATGGTTTTCGCTTTCACCTGAGGAGATGAGAATCCAATGATCAGGACAAAAATTTGAACCTAGGACTGAGAGTGGGCAAAAATTAAGACTAACATAGTTAAAGCTTACCTCCTCACGCCTGGGAACCCAGTTGTTGGATCTGAGATCAAGAACATCCCTAACCATGAACCTCAGACGAGCAGCCAACTGAGAATTCGAAGATAGCTCTTTCAAACGGTTCATGTACACATCGTTAATCCGCCGCGATTTGGGGCTCTCGTCGAGCTGCTTCCCAATCGTGATGAAGAACTGGCAGATCGCTTCGACATTTTCTTCTTCGGGACAGACCTTGTTGTCAGGACCAAGAAGCTCCTGCATTCCCCAACGCAACCCGGAATAAGTAAAACACGCAAAACCATTTCCAACTTGGCTAAAGAAAAAGGTTAAAGGTAATACTAACCTGAACAATGTGATGAACAATCTTTTCAGGGACCATCTTCTGCTTTAAGAGCTCACCGATCAAGCGAATATTTCCAAGAGTACGAAGTTTGACCATTCTCTCCTTATCCTTGCGCTCGAGCTCTTGATCAGGAGCTGTCATTTCCCTCAGTTCTTGCCTCAGCTTATCAGCACCCTCAAATGCCTCTTGGCAGTTGTTCAAGAGGACTCTCTTGAAGGTTATTTCTTTGCCACCGGGCTCATCAGAGGGAAATGGAGGGAGCTTCTCATTGAGATCGAAGCAAAGTTGGGCGTACATGGGGCAGAATGTCGGCTCCAGCACAGCTTTTTCGAATATGAGAGAGATCACCCCCTGCATCAAAGGAAGTTTACATTGATAAATAAAAAGTTAACGCTGTTTTGTGACATTTTATGGTGAAGAACTCGGTGGAGAAACAAACCTTTAGGATATCGGCTGATGTGATGCCTGAGTCGATGAGCTGGCCTTTGAGAAGGTCAAACTTTTCTGGGGTAAGTTTGTTGAGAATACTGCAACAGCAAATATGAATCAGTAAACAGGAAACCACATGGACTAATAGCTACGAACAAATGGTTGGGGGAGGGGGGGGGGGGGGGGGGGTATTCCTGATACCATGTAATATTAGCTAAAAAGGAAAATAACGAAAAGAAGAAGAGAGCAACACTCCATTGGAAGAAAACCCGAACAGAGAAGCAGAGTAAAAATGGGAATAAGATCTGGTGGAGATTACCCTTTAACGGTCTTCAAAACGCGATCTTTATCAGAAAGGGTGCCTCGCCTAGCTGACCATGGCACCTCGGCCTTGACTAAGGCGGGAGGAGGACCACCCTGGTCAACAAAACAAATAAAAAAAGTCAAAACCGATTTGTTATGCAATGATACATCAAACATTGGTGGAAACTGAAGTGCAGAACTTGAAATAAACAATTGGACAGTTTCGAGCAGAACAGCTAGATCATCTAACATTAGGTGAAAACAGTGAATATCTATTAGCAATTCTAACAAAGTCATGATTGTGATATCCTTGGAGAAAAGAAACTATGTTCCATCTTTTGAGTGTATACCGAACTTGGAAAATGAAGTTAATACAAGTATACAATATGTGACATAATTACCGATTGATTTGGGCGGACAAATTGGGAATTGGGCTGATCTTGACGATTGAATTGGTTTCCATCGAGCTGCCTGGAGTCATTCCGAGGTACAAAGTCCCTATCTTTAATCGAGTCCCAGGACCTCTCTTCCACAGGAGTCGGACCAGGAATTTGGGTGGTGGTACGGGTTCGCCAGTCACGATTGTCTGGCTCAGAATAACGAGCCTGAGGTTGCTGAGTTGGTGGGGGCTGGATACACAAAAAAGGAACTTCTTGAAGAAACAGTCATATGCTTTGAAAACCATAGATATTTTTCAAGCTTTTAGTGTCGTCCTGATTGGTAAGATACAAGATAAAGGACTTACATTACTTTCTGCTGCACGAGTCCAGCTTTGATCTTCACCGAAAAGCTCAGTTTCAATTTCCCGTTTGATTTTCAGAAGCTCATCCGGGATTGAAACAACAGCCTATAGTTAAATAGAACATATTACATATTGATTACCAGAATCAATTATGATTAGGAATATCTATCCAGCCACCACAAACAAGACACTATACTAGATGAAGACAAGAGCAAAGGAGATAACCAAGTGATTAACGATGTATATACCTCTCTAAGCTGCAGTAGCTGGTCCCTGGTATACTTCACCCTCTCACGGGCCTCGAAGCGTGAGTCACCAGCCTGAACAAGGAGCAAAGTCAATAACTTGCATCAAAAATAGCTGAATTTAGATATCTTGACAAGCAAAGACAAGCAGTACAGAGATGAATGCCTAAAATGACTAAACACCAAAATGCAGTAGCCTTTGGCCTGTAACTGCAAATCCATACAAGATACCTAAGCTCGATATACTGATGATCAAGAAATTCTTCCTCTTTTTGGACCCCTAGATCAAACTGCTCAGTTGGATTCAATTCCTTACTGAGTAAACAACACACAACACTCAGTAAACTACGTTCCACTCAAATTTATAAGTCTTAACTTCCACCCACCTAAAAGCGTAAATAAAGCACATCTTCGAGTTGCCTTTGCCTCACCACCAAACCGACAACACAATCCTCCATCAATCTGAAACCCTTAGATCTAACTACTCAGTTCCATTCAATTGCCTGGTACAGAAACACTAAAGAACTACATAACGCTCAAACATAAGCCTAAATTTCCACTCGCCTAAAAGCCTGCATTAGAAAGCACCAGCTTGAGGTGCCACGGCAGCACTTAGCCAGCAGCTGTCATTGGCCTACAACTGCAAATCCAAATAGCTACCTAAGGTTGACACCCCAGTGATTAAAAATACCAGAGACAAATCTCCCTCTCCACAAACCGTTACATCAAGATACCCAATTGGATTCAATTCCCTCCTGAATTCAACACAAACACTCATAAAATACGTCCAAGAACTGCACTTTACAACCACTGACATGGATGCACACGAACACAGTAGCCCAACAATCCAACGTAACTCATTCTAAGCCAGATAATGCGATTCTCCCAAAAGAAGAGATCTCTAAAACAAGACAGAACAAGAAGAAACAAAGTCATGAACAACTCCAGATCCAATACACTTCGGAAACACCAATCCGAATCACAGAAGCAATCCAATTCGAACGGAAACGGCAAAAGGGGCTCCAGATCCAAACATGGGTAAGGCCAAAGATTGAACCTTTAGGGCAGAAGCGCCGCCGAAGGCGATACCAGCAGCGTTGGAATTGCTGTTGCTGCCAGGAATCAGAGAGCCAGCAGGGGAAGAAGAAGACTGGTTGAAGAGTCTGCTGCTTCCACGACCACCACCAGGCCTCAAGCTCAACACCGTCTGATCACCTTGCTGCATACCTCGATTGAATCTCCGTCGTCCGATGAAAGGAAAGGCACACACACCCTCTTGTGTTTTGTTGTTGCTGTGTTTTGATTCAGCTTGCAGCTGAACCAGGTGGAATCAACCGGTGATAAATTAGATTTCCTTGAGATTGGGTTCGGGATATGGGAAGGGGGCTTCCGTTGTTCGTCGTTTGTTCTGTAGTTCGTGGGGTGGGTTTTCTCTCTCTTCTGCGGAGGAAGAGAAGAGAATGGAAGAGGGGAACTTGTGAGAAGGGGAGGCCGGTGGAGATAAAAAGGGCCCAACCCAAACCCTAAAAGAGAGAGAAGAAGCTCTGTTTCTCTCTGTCTCTGGTTTGTTTTTGCCCTTTCCGACTTGATTTGGTTTTTACCTTGGTTTATTTTCACTCTTCACTTTTTTTTACCTCGGATTTTTCCCTTACTTCCAAGTCCTAGGTGGTCGGGGATGAAATTTGTACCCTAATAAATTGTGTACATTGGATAAAATATATAATGGTAATAAGTATATGCAATAAACATGATGTCATATGGCGTTATATTTACAATTTGATGTCAAGAGGTTTCATCCAAATTAATTACAATTTGTGTTGGGTTGGTTCGTGTTTATATAGGGATGGCAAAAATATCCGTAACCGTGGATATCCGCCCGAATCTGGCCTAATTGGGTAGGGTAAAACCCGAACCCGAAGGACATGTAGTGGGTATGGGTAAAACCCGAACCCGAATATTGCGGGTAATGGTTGGGCATGGGTTTAACACTATCCAACCCGAACCCGCCCGATTATACACATGCACATGTATTTTATCTAGAAATAATCATTATTTATCTCTAACATATTTTATATTTATCATATAAATATAATATTTTCATGAAATTTTGTTGTTTTAATTAATTTTCTTCATTTCGGTGAAGTATTGTCGTACTTTTCCTCTTACGTAATGTGAGAATACATATGAATGTTAACATATTGGTTGGAGTTATGAAGAGAAATTATTATCCATGGATAACTGTGGATATCCGAAACCCGAACGGGTATGGGCATGGTTTTGATTTTCTACCCGTTTTACATGTGGGTATGGGCATGGGTAAAACCCGAACTACTTTGGGTAGGGTAACGGATATGCACTATCCGTCCCCAACCCGACCCATTGCCATCCTTATGTTTATACTTAGTGTGTTTTTGTAAAGTTTGCATGTTGTGTCTGTCTATCTGATGTGTCCAATGAAAAGTTCGTATATTTTCTATCCACTCCACTATCATGATTCATGACAAAAGAAGAATCATATAATGATCTTCACTCTATAAAGAATGTATATTAAGTCGGATGGTTAACAAACCAATGAAGGGTATGGTGGAGATTTATCATCTTTATATGGACAATCCTAATTACATTGTGACACACAATCGATAATCTGATGGTAGGAGTCGTGAGAAGAAACTCATTTGCCTTACTATTGACACCTCAATACTGTTGTTCCATATCATTAGGAGAGGGAAATAGTTGTGTCATTGCCTCAATTGTATTACATATAATCACCCCTCTACTTTTACCTTCATCGTTGATGATGAAATTTATACTCGAAAGCGTCATGAGCTCGATGATTAACATAACTTTGTGTGTTTATAGAAACCTTTTTTTTTTTGAATGCTCAACTAAAATAAAATGATTAAGCAAAGGTTACACTTATGGTATACACGGGTTGAATCTATCGAATAACATTAAATACCGATATCTTTACCATCCAAAGAAAATTATAAAATACTATCTTAAGTTGTGATTAACCACATAATACACGCCAAAATAAACATTGGGTAATTTGAATAGTTGATTGTTGTAAATGTCAAGATCATAATATGAGTTCCAAAATCTCACCTACCTCTTGCGATATTTCCATATTCAGCAATATTCATATTTAAAAACAAAGCATAAGACAACAAAAGTTTTTAAATTTCATATCGAATTGGAACATATTACGATATCCATCATGAAAGCTAGCATTGCAAATTGAGTCGAGTGTACAGTTCAATCGTTATGAACCATAAAATCAATATGCTCTAAGAATCATATCACGACTTGAGTTGTTCATTTGTATCGTCTATACTTTGTACCACGCACTCACCACTACCTCGTGATAATCAAAACCTCATATCAGAATGTGGTTCGATTCTAAGAAGAACATGTTCGTTACACCGTGTTCTTTTACTATTGGGATAATAGGCATTGGGTTGGTTTGAGAGTGGAGAGTGGAGATAACTAAACTTGTAACATCATTATAGACTGGTACTTACTAATGAGTAACCAATTGGCAACGTGCAAAGAATCTATGGTTTGATTTGGTATAATATTCTCGCACGTGGAGTGAGTGATAAGCTTAGTTCATCGCCTCGCCTGTGGTTGGCTTTTCGGCTGTTAGATTTAGTTAGGGTGATGAAGACGGCATCGGCGTAGCCCACCAACTAATCTGTCGTCGTCTCTTTACGTCATGATCAGCAAACCGTCGTCGGAATTTTCCGATTTGGATTCATTTCTTTTCACTTGCACTGTCCATATAATAGGAAGTTTTGTTTACATGACATGGAGCTCATGAGAACCATCTTATATGGTTCAATAGGTTTAGTGATATATAGGGGTGGTGGCTCGGTTTTGTGTTATCTATTTTAACCGAAATCGAATTGATTTTTAAGACTTATCGGATTCTCTTAATGAGAACCAACAAACTTATGGGGGTAAGGAGATTCATTGGCAGTAAGTAGACCTGACTATGATTACCCACGCTATACGAACACAAACATGAAGTAATCACACCTGAAAAATAAGAACTTAACAAGTTGTGTTGAATTGAGTTCTTACGGACTTGATATGAACATATTATTACGATATATATAACTAATTCAATCTATGATAAAACACACATGACACAATTTGGTGGACAAGACTGACTAATTCTAACCGTTCTTGCCAATTTGCTAAATTATGACCTAGTTTATCACAGTTGTAATTTTCAACTGAAAAGCTCATCATAATGGATCGAGTATGATCATTGGGAGCTAGCAAATACAATTCATTATTGACACTTATGGACAGTTATGTAGTGGTTGTTTAACTCATCTTTTAATTATGAGGTATGAGATTCGATCATTAGCTCATTATAGTAAACTCGATCATTAGCCCATTATAACAGAACGCCATATGTGATCAGTCATTTAATTTTTACCCATGCTAAGAAATTAGCTCATTAGCCCATCATAACGGATCGTGTATGATCATTGGGAGCTGGCAAATACAATTTATTATTGACACTCGTAAACAGTTATGTAGTGATTGACTAACTCATCATTTAATTATGAAGAGTGAGATTCGATCATTAACTCATTATAATAAACGCGATCATTAGCCCATTATGATTGAACACCCTGTGTTATCAATCATTTACCGCTTCCAATGATAAGAAATTAGTCACTTAGACTAACTCCAACCCAAATGTGCATTTTTAGCCTCTCAAACTCTCAAATGTGCATTTTTACCTCCCAAAAACACTTTTTTCTCCAACTCTAAACCTTCTAAATTTGCCTTCCCAATGCATAACCAACCCATCAAAAATTAAGAAAGTAAAAACAAAAAAAAGAGAAGGTAATGGAAAAGTGGAGGGCCCCACGTGCCCCTACATGTGGGCTTTGGCTGCCCCATGGTTCCCACCTCCTCCTTGCATTTCTCCATTTCAGCTGCCATCTATCCACTCCCAAGCCCACTTCTCCAAATTTTCAAGCCAATTTTTATGTGGGTTGGAAAGGAAAAAGTGGGAAAACATACCTTTCTCCAAATTTGCATCCTTGGGTTGGAGTTAGTCTTATTAAGAGTTTTTTTTTACCCTGGTGGCAGTACACCACTAGTAGAAACTTGTAAATAAATGAGCTTTTATTTTGGTAGTCGAATTTCCCCCTTTTTGGGTAGAAGCTTCTAGTTTTTTTTGGGGAACATATAGTCTAGTTTTCTCTTTGTGAAATTTTTATGAGAACTGTGTGGGCTAGAAACAAAGGGCCTCCAAATTGACTAAAAACACAATAATCGGCCTAAAAACTGAACAAGAGCCCAGCCCGCAGTCACCATCAGAAAATTTCCCTGGCTCGCTTTTACACTGACGGCATCATAAAAAAAAATTGTGGATAAGAAAATTCGGCAGCTGCTCGTCCGCCAGTCTCGCCGGTCGAAAATACTCCGCCGCCGAGGAAGCCATGGCTGGGATTACCAGCGCCGGCAGCTTTCCTTTCACACCCCTTCCGACCGCCGGAAAATCGGCCACTCTTTTATCGTCCCTCGACTCCAAGCTCTTCGGCCGCCGGCTCCACTGCTCCCCTCTATGCCGAGCAGAGTCTCTCGTCTCCTCTCCCAGGACATTCCCCGGCTCCTCCGTGGTCACCGCCCGTTACGGCGGCGGGGGAGGCGGCGGCAGGGGCGGACGTTCGAGGCAGACCGAACCCGATGATGAGCAGGCTCTTGACATATCTGTAGTTCGGTAATTGCTTGTCAAATTGAAAACGATCTTCTTAGGTCGTTGGTTGTACAGAATGTGGGAAGAATTATGTGAGTTTAAGACTGTGTTTGTGTCTTTGTTAGGTCGGCTACTGTGAGGCTCATCGACCAGAAGCAAAACATGGTTAGTCTTTCACTGATCATTTGCTTGAATTGTAGGGAATGGCATTCTGTTCTTAGAAAGTTTGGTGATTGGTGGGTTTCTTGTACGGATTCTGTGTAGGTTGGAGTGGTATCGAAATCTGAAGCTATTCGGATGGCTGAAGAAGCTGAGCTTGATTTGGTAATGCCTCCTTGAGAGAAAAGAAGCTTCTTTTTTCCTCCATTTCTAGAATACCTTTCCTCATTTTGATCCTTATTATGGTGGTGTTTGTAGGTTGTGTTGTCTCCAGAAGCAGATCCTCCGGTCCTCCGAATAATGGATTACAAGTATGTACTATTTCACATTTTTTCCCCCCACTTCATTCGATGAATGAGATGAAATTGCTCATTTTGTATCATTGAGGTTTAGCTTGTAGAGTCATCAAGCTGTTAGTTATGTTTGAGAATTTAGACCCACTTTGAACTTCAGTTAGTAGTAGTACAGTGCCATCTATGCTAGTGCTCAACAGTTTTGGTCAAGAGGGATCAATGTCAATATGAGTTGAGAGTTTTGTCAGGATTCTTCGTCTCTATGATGAAGTTTCGTACCTACAATATCGTTCTGTGGGTAGGGGTTGTTTCCTTATTGTCGAAGTAGTTTAATGACTAAAATGTTGAGTGTACTTTGAAAGTTGTGAAGTATAGCTGGTTGGAAAAGGTAAAGATGTTTCCTTTGTGGGAGGGGAAAGGAGGCTGAGCATGCTGTATGTACCAAATTCTCGACCATAACAAGTCATATGGTGAATCGGTTCAGGAACTGAATTGAATAATGACTCTTTTCTTTGTTTCCAGCAAATATAGATATGAACAACAAAAGAAGAAGAAAGATCAGCAGAAGAAAAGTGCAGGTGAATCTCTATTCTTATAAGATATATTGTGGAGCTTTTTCTGATTGATGTATAAAACCTTCGGCATGGGTTTGATTCCGAGTTTCTGACCAAATTGTCTGTCTCCTCTGGTAAATGCAGCGAGTCGAATGGATCTAAAGGAGCTTAAGATGGGGTATGTTGGTATTGGGATATGTTCGTTGAATCATCAATGCTTACTTTTGCGATCTGTAGCATGTTAGCAACTTTGGGTACTTCAAAGGACCTGCCTTTGTTTGTTAGTTCAACGTGGAGGTGTTAATTTTTATTTTTGCGTACTTTATTAACAGTTATAGCATTGATCAACACGATTATGGTGTACGGCTGAAGGCGGCTAGAAAGTTTTTGACAGATGGTGATAAGGTCCTCATTGTGATTGGTGTATTCTCACCCGTTTATGCAGTTCACATGTGCTTGATATCTTAGTGGCTGTCCTTTAAACTTCTCTCCTTTCAGGTTAAGGTGATCGTAAACTTGAAAGGTCGTGAAAATGAGTTCAGAAACATTGCCATCGAGCTTCTCAGACGTTTCCAGAATGATGTTGGGGAGGTCTTCAATTTTCCATTTTTACCTCAATTCAATCTTTCCTACAATGCTACTATTCTCTATTATCCATTTCTCTGAAAAGTCTGTCTTTTCGGTTTGCAGTTGGCAACTGAGGAGAGCAAGAATTTGAGGGATAGGAACATATTCATTACCTTGGTTCCCAATAAGGCTATTCAACAAAAAGGTCAGGAACCTCCCAAGAAGAAAGATAAGCCAGCTGCTGTAAATGAAGTGTCGGCCAATGTGTAAGTTGACAGTAGGGAAGAGTTTTTATCTATGAAGCAGATGCTAAAGGTTGTCCTCGAATCCATCAGCTGGGTGTAGAAAACTCAGGAACTGTACAGCTACTGTACCATAGCACAATTTGGATCAACATGGCAAGTTCAAGTGCATAACTTCGCCGAGATAAATAGAAAGCCTTTGAAGCTTCCCTCCCTTCTTATAATGTATCTTGGTGGCGGGTTGCTGTTCAGATAGTGATTTCCGTGGCTGACAGCTGAGGGGTCATCGGGGCTTTTCAGCGCTGCAATGTGTTCATTAAGAAACATGGTAAGTGGTGGCACTCTCCCTTCCTTTTATTCGAAGTGATAGGACTCAGAAATGTAATCAATGTACTCTGTGTACCATCTATATCACATGCCAATGTAATCTTTTCCCACCAAAATGTTGGGTTCATGTTAAATGCCTTGGTTCAGGTGTGTCAACATAAGCTTGCGACTCGTCGGTTCAACGCCTTGTTGATGAACGCTTTGGTTCGGTGTATTTGAAAACGTGTCATTTCTTGCAATCGAAACTTTTCATGTATATTGCACGTTGATCAGCGTGTTCTTTCAAATGATGCATTCGTTTCATTGCTGTCAACATAGAGGGGAGTAGGAGAAGGTGATCCATCTGGATGGGGAGACTCCAACTCACTCAACAAACGAAACGACTTGGTGAGTTGAGAGTTTGGGAGCACTGACTTGGCTTTGAAGTTGCTCCATCTCCAGTTAAAATTGCCTCTCAGCACTTTTTGGTTTCTCAGTTACATTCACGTTGGTTTTCCTTGATAATACGTCTCCACAGCCTGGAAAGGGAACATTTCGATTTCTGTTGGTAAAGTCTACTTTCCTTGATCTAGGCTTATTTGGGTGATTAATTCAAATCTAAAGACCAGGAAGGAAACGGCAAAATGGTTCTCCAACCACGACCCTACCCCTTTGGCCGGACTGTAAAAACATGAATTTGGACAAGTAGGGAGGGCAATTTTGATTTGACTCGCTTAACTTGATTCGAACTTGTCCATCTTTTGCGATTAGACGAACATTATCTAATTTATGAGTATTGAAGGGTTACGGGCCTTCTTTTTCTGTTGCCTTTTCTCAATCATTTATTTCAATATTCTAGTATCTTTTATTTATACTTTTCTTAAGTAAAATTTTCACTTCTACTCAGTATGAAGTGCGACTCTCCATTTTAATAGACGGAATTCAAGATTTACCATAATTTCCATTTTAATAGACGGAATTCAAGATTTACCATCATTTCGATGAACAAATGAAAGAAAAAGCTTTTTGATTAAAATTCACGTAACAAGGATCTCAATTCTCAATCTACTGCTAAGCTTTATGGAACTTGAAAGTAAGACTTCAGGGGCTGAATATGTGTAACACTTTAAAATATGGGACTGGAAACTTTACCAGGAAATGGACAGAAACAGTAAGAAAGGAGCCGTTGTAAGAAAGAGCTTAGCAGTAGAATAGAATGAGAGAACAGAGAAACCAAATGGTAGTTGGCGCCAAAAGAGAGAAAAATAAAACGAAAAAATGGGAAAAAAAACAGCGGAAGCTTAACTTGACGGCAATGGCGACTCTGCAACCAACTGAAAAAACTCATCCAACATTAGGTGAGGAGCTAGAATTCCGCACATCTCTTTCACGCCTTAAAGAAACCATCTGATAACATCCACCCCCTCACAATCTTCATCTCCATTCCACGCACTTCCCTGGCTCTCCCTTGAAGTCGCCATGGAAGCCAATGCTGGACTGGTGGCCGGCTCCCACAACCGAAATGAGCTCGTCGTCATACATGGACACGAAGAGGTAAACAAAGATGCCAACTTTACAGTGTTTCGATTCTGGGAAGACTTGGTTCTCTTGGTTTGTTTGTTCGAGTAGTTTTGGTTCCCATTTCGCAGATTAAGCCACTGAAGAACTTGGATGGACAATTTTGTGAGATATGCGGTGACCAAATTGGGGTTACTGTCGAAGGAGACTTGTTCGTCGCTTGCGACGAATGTGGGTTCCCTGTGTGCAGGCCTTGCTATGAGTACGAACGAAGGGAAGGCACTCAGAACTGTCCTCAGTGCAAGACCCGCTACAAGCGCCTCAGAGGTAAGTCAAACTGCAGAATAGGATTTCTGGACGATTTGAATTCTGTAAATGCATAGAAATTCTTGAGGAGAAGCATAGAATGAGCGATCATATAAAACATGAGAGTTACATGGTTCGGTTAGTGTACTTACGTCCATGGAGTTGCCACATGTAAGCTATTCTTATGTCATTTGTGTCTACGTAGGGAGCGCCAGGGTTCCGGGAGACGAGGATGAAGAGGATGTGGACGATATCGAACACGAGTTCAACATCGAAGATGAGCAAGAGAGGACCAAGCATCTTACTGAGGCAATGCTTCATGGCAAGATGACGTATGGAAGAGGCCACGATGACGAGGAAAACAGCCAGTTCCCACCTGTCATAACTGGCATCAGATCAAGACCGGTAAATGAACCCAAGAAAAAGGAGCCCATTCTACTCTTGTTCTTGCTCAGCATTTTGATTGTTCAAAGTTACAATGATTGTGAATTCTCCTGCTGTTTGATGTTCAGGTGAGCGGAGAGTTCCCAGCTGGAGCATATGGAGATCAAACGGCTTCTTCACTCCACAAGAGAATCCACCCATATCCTGTTTCAGAAGCTGGTAAGCAATAAGCTCTTTACATTCTCAAACGACCTACTATATTATCATAGGATTTCTGATACAAACCTGCAAGAACAACAAACAGGGAGTGCAAGGTGGGATGAGAAGAAAGAAGCCGGATGGAAAGACAGAATGGACGACTGGAAGCTGCAGCAGGGGAACTTGGGACCTGAACAGGAAGATGATATAGATGCATCCATGTAATTATAGATACATCTGTATTCACAAAAATTCAACATACTCTGTCATATTTGAAGCTCAAAAGTAATCCATGGCTGATAAAATGCAGGGTCGATGAAGCAAGGCAGCCACTTTCAAGGAAAGTACCGATTGCTTCGAGCAAGATCAACCCTTACAGAATGATTATTGTCGCTCGTCTAGTGATCTTAGCATTCTTCCTTCGTTATCGAATTCTGAACCCTGTCCATGATGCTATTGGTCTCTGGCTGACTTCCATCGTTTGTGAGATCTGGTTTGCCTTCTCATGGATTCTCGATCAGTTCCCTAAGTGGTTCCCTATCGATCGAGAGACCTATCTTGACCGCCTGTCTCTCAGGTAAGAAAAAGCTGATACTAATTCACAAGATTCTAAGGGTCATCTGGAACCTGTAAATTTCATATGATGTATTTTGAGAAAGCATGCATTTGAAACTGAAAATCACGTTTTTCCGCATATAACTTAACTTAAAATGAAAAGATGGATTCTGAGAACGAAAGCATTTCTAATAGGATGGTGTCTTACAAATACAAGATTGCATTTGTAATCTGAACTCCCCCTCTCCAGTTATAGTTGTTATCTATTAAAAAGAAAACACTGCAAATGGAAACATTTTGAATTCACTAACGAATTCCAAACAATATTGTATTCTTACAATCAACAGATTAACTCGATCCACAGATTTCAAATACATGCATCCTTGTACAGTCATACTCACCGGTTTCCCTTCACAGGTATGAGAGGGAAGGTGAACCAAACATGCTCGCTCCAGTGGACGTATTCGTCTGTACAGTCGATCCAATGAAGGAACCTCCACTTGTCACGGCCAACACGTTACTCTCAATCCTGGCTGTGGACTACCCTGTGGAAAAGCTCTCGTGCTACCTCTCCGACGATGGTGCTTCGATGTGCACATTTGAAGCCATGTCCGAGACAGCTGAATTCGCTCGCAAGTGGGTCCCATTCTGCAAGAGACACAGCATAGAGCCCAGAGCACCTGAGTTTTACTTCTCCCTGAAGGTTGATTACCTGAAGGACAAAGTCCATCCCAATTTTGTGAAGGAACGTCGAGCTATGAAGGTTTATAAAAGTTCTGATCTTTGGAGGATATTCACTGTCTGAAGCAGTTCATGAACTGTTCAAGTAAAGCTATTGACCTCCTTTTTTCCCCTTGCTTTTGACAGAGGGAATACGAAGAGTTCAAGGTGAGGGTCAATGCAATAGTATCAAAAGCGCAGAAGGTACCTGCCGAAGGCTGGATCATGCAGGATGGAACTCCATGGCCTGGAAACAACACAAAGGATCACCCCGGCATGATCCAAGTGTTTCTTGGTCATAGTGGAGGCTATGATGTCGAAGGAAATGAACTACCTCGCCTGGTTTATGTATCTCGTGAGAAGAGGCCTGGATTTTCACATCACAAGAAAGCTGGTGCCATGAATGCCATGGTAGAACCATGATCTAAAATCACTCTTCATGTCTAACTTTTTCTGGTTAATCTTCATGGCCCTATCTTGATCTTTGTGGTATAATCTTTCAGGTTCGAGTCTCTGCCGTGCTGACCAATGCTCCTTTCATGCTGAATCTTGATTGTGACCATTACATAAACAACAGCAAGGCCGTGAGAGAAGCTATGTGTTTCTTGATGGACATCCAGACTGGAAAGAAAATTTGTTATGTTCAGTTTCCTCAGAGATTCGATGGCATTGACAGAAATGATCGTTATGCCAACAGAAACACTGTGTTTTTCGATGTAAAAGATCCTTGAAACCTATTCATTTCCAGCTTTCTCATAATTTCATGCGAAGGATGAAAACCAGACCTGTGTTTTCTTCTGCAGATAAACATGAAAGGACTGGATGGGATTCAGGGACCGGTTTATGTCGGTACAGGATGCGTGTTCAGGAGGCAAGCTCTGTATGGCTATGATCCTCCAAAGGGTCCCAAGAGGCCAAAGATGGTTAGCTGTGACTGCTGCCCATGCTTTGGACGTCGCAAGAAGAAGCTGGCAAAGCCTGGTGCAAATGGAGAAGTAGCCAGCTTAGAAGGTGTACCAATGGGATCTTTACTGATGGTGCTTTGTATTGCTTCTTTCTCTCTCTTCTGTGTTCTGATATGGATTCTTTCCCATTTACAGGAGTGGATGATGATAAACAGCTGCTGATGTCCCATATGAACTTTGAGAAGAAATTTGGACAATCAGCCATTTTTGTAACTTCAACTTTAATGGAAGAAGGAGGTGTCCCTCCTTCCTCCAGCCCTGCAGCCTTGCTCAAAGAAGCCATCCATGTTATCAGTTGTGGCTATGAAGACAAAACAGAATGGGGCACAGAGGTAAAGTCCATAGCCCTGCTCCCTACAGGCTAAGTTGCTCTTTTTGTGAGCAACACAATAACATTCTTTCTTGTGTTGTTTCTCTTGGCAGCTTGGCTGGATTTATGGTTCAATTACAGAAGATATTCTTACTGGATTCAAGATGCATTGCCGTGGCTGGAGGTCCATCTATTGTATGCCGAAGAGGCCAGCATTCAAGGGTTCAGCACCCATTAATTTGTCCGATCGGTTGAACCAAGTGCTTCGATGGGCTCTTGGTTCAGTTGAAATCTTCTTTAGTCGGCATAGTCCTCTCTTGTATGGATACAAGGATGGAAACCTCAAGTGGCTTGAGAGATTTGCATATGTCAACACAACTGTTTACCCCTTCACCTCGCTACCACTTCTGGCCTACTGTACTCTTCCAGCCATCTGCCTGCTCACAGACAAATTCATCATGCCAGAGGTAACAAAACAATTCTATTTTAAAAAATCTAAGCTCGATTTCTTATATATGGTTTAACTTGGAACAAGAGAATGTTACAATTTACAGTCACTAAAACGGAAACTTTGGATTTCAGATTAGCACCTTTGCAAGTCTCTTCTTCATAGCTCTCTTCCTCTCAATCTTTACCACGGGTATTCTCGAGCTTCGGTGGAGTGGAGTGAGCATTGAAGAATGGTGGAGAAACGAGCAATTCTGGGTCATTGGTGGTGTGTCAGCTCACCTCTTTGCAGTTGTGCAAGGTCTCCTCAAAGTTCTGGCCGGTATTGATACGAATTTCACTGTCACCTCCAAAGCCACAGATGACGACGACTTTGGAGAACTTTACGCCTTCAAATGGACGACCCTCCTCATACCTCCAACCACCATCTTAATCATTAACCTTGTAGGAGTTGTTGCTGGAGTCTCGGATGCCATAAACAACGGATACCAATCATGGGGGCCTCTGTTTGGGAAGCTGTTCTTTGCCTTCTGGGTTATCGTTCATCTCTATCCTTTCCTGAAAGGTCTTATGGGAAGACAGAACAGGACTCCGACCATTGTAGTCATCTGGTCTGTGCTCTTAGCTTCAATTTTCTCATTATTGTGGGTTAGGATTGATCCGTTCGTCATGAAAACCAAGGGTCCTGACACCAAGAAATGCGGGATCAACTGCTGAAAAACTTTTCTCTTTCTGTAACCTTTTGATACTGGTGCCAGATTTATTCACACAAGCACTTCACTTTGTCTTACAGGAATAAAGCCATAGTGAGAAATTTTTGTGCCGCAATAGAACATGTACCCAGTTTTGTCTTGAAGTCGGAGTGATAGTGAAGTGGCTGTCATGATGATATCTCCACACCTTGAGCCAACTGCTTAAAATCAGTTCTTCTCTTCTTCCAAAAGCAATAAGCATAACAAATCATGTCCACAGTTCCAGTGCCTCAGGGATAAGTAATGAACAGAAATGTGATAGCAGTCGTGTTATGCAAAGCTTTCACTAGCATGAACATATCTGTTGCATGTTCAATTGGGTAATAGATATAGAAGTTAAAACCCGATTCAGAACTCGGAAGCTTAACTCGACAACCACTAGCTTTAATAATATTCAAGTCAAGTGCAAGGCAGGGCAGGAAAATCCAAAAAATACCACCGTTCAGGCTTCTTGGCCATGCTGAACAAACTTTCACCAGTAATCTCCACAAGAACACACACCATCCTCGAAACGATGAAATCGATTGGCATCCCTTGCGACGATAACTCTCTGAGTAACCCTAGATATATACTTTGACGCAGTATGGCAGTCCAGACAAATGCGGAGGTTCTTGAAGATCCTTATCTCAGTTCCAGGCTCAGTAGATAATAGACCAAAAGCAATGGCTAGCTTCTCACTGTGAACATTCACCATCAACTCCTTCTCTTCCTCCTCCACATCATGCAATGAAGTCATAGTCTCTGCCTGATACCCTGCTTCCTTCATCTTTCCATTCAATCTCTCGAGCTCTGCATATATAGCTCTCGATAGTGGATGAGACCAGTCGCCCGCCTTGAATACATGAGGTTTCTGATGAATCTCAATCAGAGTACATCCTGGAGTCTTTGAGAGGTTTCTCTTCTTAGCTACTTGCCTAACAAATGCAGCTCCTGGGTAGTTCTTATCAGACGAGTATATATTTGACATCAGAACGTAGTATCCCATATTTCCCGGATCCGATTCGAAGAGCTTCTCAGAAGCCATACGGGCTACATTAGTATCTTTATGGACCATGCAAGCGCCGAGTAATGTTGACCATATTGGAGTTCCAGGGTCCCCTGGGATCCCCTCTATGAAGTCCAATGCTTCCTTCAACTTTCCAGCTCGCCCGAGAATGTCAACCATGCAAGCATTATGCTCTGATATCGGTTCAAATCCATGGTCACGTTTCATTGACTTGAAAATCTGTTCTCCTTCTTTTACCAAACCGGAATGACTGCAAGCGTGTAGTATGGAGAGGAAAGTTATCCGGGTTAAGGGAGTGCCAGAGCTCACCATCTCATGGAAAAGCTTCAGTGCTTCCTGCCCATGTCCATGGAGGCCATACCCAGAAATCATCGCATTCCAAGTCACATCGTTTTTATTCGGTATCGATTCGAATAACCTCCGAGCCTCCACAATGCTGCCACACTTTGCATACATGTCGATTAGAGCAGTTGAGACATAGATGTTTGAGTCAAATTTGTTGCTCTTAATCAAACCATGAACCCACTGGCCAAGACTCAATGCTCCAAGCTGGGCACAAGCTGAGAGAATACTTGTGATGGTGACAGGATTAGGACTGACATTAGACATTTGCATCTCTTGGAAGAGAGAAACTGCTGCTTCTGTCAAACCATTCTGAGCGTAACCTGAAATCATCGCATTCCAAGAAGCTAAAGTTTTCTCTGATGATTCGTCAAAAGTTCTTCGAGCAGAGTCCATCTCGTTTAATCTAATGTAGATTGTGGTCAATGCAGTTGAAACAGATGGGTGGGAGACCATGCCTGATTTGATGCTGAAATCATGAATGCAATTAGTAAGAAGCAAGTGACCAAATGGAGAATGGACTGGGATCAATCCCACAATAGTGCTTGGATTAACTTTTTCCCCTGACTGGAGCAATTCTCTGAACAATTTCAGTGCGGACTCAGTTTCATCGTTGCAAGTAAACCCTGCAATCATGGCATTACAAGATATCAAATCTCTCCTACCAATCTGTCCGAATAGCAGGTTTGCTGATCTAATAGCCCCGCATTTAGAATACAAAGAAATCAAGCCGGTGAGTACAGAGACATGAGAATAAAAGCCAAGCTTTATTGCCAAACAATGAACTTCTAATCCCAATCTCATATCCTGCAACTCTGCAACAGCAGGTAGAACTGATATCACAGTGGTGCAGTCAACCTTAGGTCCATCGCCAGAAACCATCCGCCTGAAAATCCCTATGGAATCTTCGAAACGAGAGCTTCTCCCCAAGCCTGACACCATCGTGTTACACAGAACTGCATCTCTCTCAGGCATTTCATCGAACACCTTCCTTGCCATATCATCCCGCCCGAGCTTGAAATACAAATCTATAAGCGCAGACCCAATAAACAAATCCGAACAAAACCCGCCAACTATCACCTGCCCGTGCAACGAAATACCAACCTTCACATCCCCAACACTCGCCGCCGCCGGAATGACGAAGGCGTAAGTGAAGTTATCAGGTCCAAGATCGATACTTTTTCTCTCCCTCAAACGTTTGAACGCCGCAATCGCGGATCTCGGAGACTCGTTGCTCGCCAATCCCTTGACGAGAACGTTGCATAGAAACCTGTCGGGTTCCGGGAAGCTGAAGAAGAGCGAGCGAGCGTGGTGGACGGCGCTGAAATCGAAGAGACGGTGAGTGAGCTTTGTCGTTGTAGCAATGTCGCTCTGGAAACCATTGTGAAGGAGCTGCGCGTGGAGCTCGGTGAGGTGAGAGAGAGTGACGGCTTTGGAGAGGAGATGGAGGAAAGAATCGCGGGTTCGAGGAACATAACTGGCCGCCACCGTCGTCACGGCTCCGGCCGCCGCCATCTCTCGATCTTACTAACTGCTTATTGGCGGCTAGAGGGAGAAAAAGGGGTTTCCCGGAAAATCCTGTTAATAGGCGGGAATTTTAAAGTTTAAACACCACATTCGTTTCATAGTGACATTTTAGTCCCTAAAGTTCAAATTTTACACTAAATTTTCAGCTGACCATTTTGAATTAGCTACCATCATCAAGCTTTCGGTTAAGAGTCAAGGAAGCCAAATCTCCATGAGTTGTTTCCTTCCCATATAACACAAGCATTGAACCGTTGGATCTCAATGTTCAACGAAGCGGTTCAACTTTGTATTCACCGTTCTTTTTCACTTTCTGGTGTCTGCCAAATCTTATGCAGTTGAGTTTATCGATAATCCGAACTACATGTGTTTCGTTTACAGTTACCAGGATTCATTTAGGAAGAAGCCCTACTCCATGGTGTAGAGGTATCTATCTCTCTGCACTGTGGTATTCTTCCTTTCCATCCTGTTAGAATTTGGTTTTGAAAAAGGTTACTACTTTTGCCTGCAATTGGGGAATCAATCCTCTTTTGCTTTGCTTTCCCTCTTTGCAGCCTGTTTTTAGATCCAGATCATGGCTGGAAAGACAGCAACTTTCCCTTTTCTTCCCACATTTGCAGAGAATTCAGAATCCTTTCCATGGCTGCTTTAAGAAATCTCTAATCTCCCAAGAGGAACCACCCCCAGCTTTGCCATGGAATCAGTGAAAGATCAGATTAGCCAAAATTGTGCTGGCAGCCTAGCTTTTTTTTGGTCACTTTGCAGCCTGAGTAATTAGAAGTCTGTAAGAGACCCTTGAAGCTTTCATCTTTTCTACATTGTTTTTCTGTGTTCGAATCATTGTAAATTTGTAACGCGACACATGGGAATCGTGACGATTTCTGAGCATAGCCTTAGTAAAATGCCTCCTGTGATCCAACAGGCAAGGTTCCAATGTCTCACTTGAGAGCAGAATGCTGCAGTTTGATTGAATCCAGTACAAGGGAAGTGCAGGTGCAATGTTTCCAGACAAATGCAGAATGTGTGAGAAATAATTGAACATGTCTTATTATGATCAATACAATTTCTCTTCTTTTTTTCTACCTTAGATCCATAATTAACATTACTAATAATTATTGAAATGTTGCATGCAATATATATATTGAGTTGTTTTCTAGTTCTTCTAGGGCAGTCAAGGGAGAAGATTTGGGGCAAAGATCAACAAGAGCATATCTTCTTTGGGGCAAAAATATAAAAATTGAATATGTTCTAAACGAAGAAATGCAAGAGCATGGCATAACTTTTGGGCATGGGCTTGACCACAATCATTGATTTGCACATGCCCTCAAATTCTATCTTCTAATTGGGGAAGAAATTATGTTTGGTTTTTGTTCTTTTTCACTTAGTTTAACTACCTATTGGCTATCTAGGGCTTGAGATATGATGAATAATTTACCAATTGAGTTATAGAACCGTAAGATTCTTATTGCCTAAGAAATGTGTTCTTTTCGATCTTTGTTGACATCTATGTGTAAGTTTTGTATTAAAGCGAGAGGATAAAATTGACACACACTAATGTTCGAGTCTTAGGTTGGTAATCATCTAAAAAGAAATGAAATTTTTCATTTTTTTCATCATCACTAAATCATCCACCCTGAGTTACATGAACGAATAATTATAAAACGTAATCAAAATTTAAAATCAATGAGACTAACATTTCAAAATATAGTTGATGCCATAACAAAATCGTGCATAAACTTTATATTAATAATAATATAATGATAGTATAACGCATTGGAAAAAATTTATATAATTCTGCTGGTAAAATCGAATCAATATAATGTGATATCACAAAATCCACATTTACTTTCCACAATGGTAACCCATTCTATTGAATATAGGTTAAAAGAAGAGACAACTATTAACTAGATTTAAGATGATAGCCCATAAATCATCAAACTTTTCAGAAATCAAATTAGCTAGATGTTAAAAGAAGAGACAAATTTTATCCTCCCCCCTAATTCACTAATGAGAGCTGAAAATAATTAAGCAAACAAATGGGCAATTAATATGACAAAAAGAAATGGGGAAAGAGGCACAAAGCAACATCACCACATGATATGTCTAAAATGCTCTACAACATCATTCTCAATACTATTAATCTGGCGGGAAAATCAATCAAAATGGAACCCTAATTCCTGATTTGTTCCTGAACTGTTCCCCGTAGACTGTCTAAGTTAGTGGGAAATGCATTTCTTTTTTTCAAAAGAAAGAAAGACCCACAACCAATTATTTCAAATCTTTTGAGAGGTTCTTCACATTAGTGAAATTTGAGTACTATTCTCCTTTAAAAATTCAACTTGTGTAATGGCTTCAGCATTTGCAAGGTCAGAGTCTATCTCAATTATAAATGTCTAATCACATTTTGAATTAAAAATGAAATTAAGATATATTACTTTGTATTAGACTTCTGGTCTAGTCTATTTAGAGTATTGACTATCTCTCAAGAATAGTAAAAGTTTCTCAATCAAATACACACATCGTTCAAACCATATTCATATTCAGTTGAAAGAATGACAACTATGAATTCGAGTAATTTGAATTTATTTGAAATTACATCGATAAGCTGAAACTAGTATTGAAAAAAAAAACACTTACAATGTTTTTAGCTTATCGACCAACATTCAGATGAACCCAAATTTCATGTCAATCACTTATCGCATGTATATAAAATGAAGTTTGACGAATATACATGTTAAATCCTCTAAAAAAGTTTGAACTTTCTCCCACTATTAATTATCAATTTATGATTTGTGAATAGTGGTTATATGCAACTTTTATCAAAGGTGAAGGTAGAGTACATGACAATTATCTCAAGGTTGGAGCATACAACAAACATACCAAAAATCTGAAGTGGTCTTTCTTATTGTCTCACCATAACTTGTTCCAAAGATGTGGGAAAGAATCATAATTGTTTAATTAGGATGAAAATTTGGAACATTTTATATATATTTGTTCTGTCAAAGAAATGAGTTTGGTGGAGTTTGGCTAACAAAGACCAAACCTAACAAGCAACAATTAAGTGTGAAACAAGGAGATGTAAATAGGGCAGATAAGAACAAGGATGGAGTCAAATTGAGACACATAAACAAACAAAGAAACAAAAATCCTACATTGAAATATCAACCCAATTAATTATATTTTGTCTTAATTGTTTATCCTTGTACTTAGGGCCTAAGGGCAAAACACTTACTAAAATGACATCTATACCATCAACTTAGATGTATGTGCATTGTTTCATCGTGGGAAAATGTAATAGAATTTCCATCCTAAACTTCTTTGTTTCTGAAGCTTATTTGGTCTTTGTTTTTTGTAGTAAGCTTTATTTAGTAGTTCACATTGAAGAAAAATATGTGATAAAATCCAGGGAATTAGGGTTGATCCCTATGAACCTCAGGACCTATGTTGTTACTTGTTAGTATCAGGTTGTTACAATTTCATCGAGAAAAAATGCACGATAATAATAATTAATATAAATTTATGCACTATGTATAAGACAAAAAATAGTGAATAGAATTTTGAGAAATAAGTTACATAGGTAGACCAAATGTAAAGTATGGGGAATGTGAGGTGGATGGATCACTTGGAGGGATTGGGTAAGTTCCTTATCTAGGGTAAGACTTGAGCTCCTGGTGTGCCCAAAAGCCTTTAGTTTACGAGTTTGAGTTTAGAAGCGTTCGTTGGATTGTGTTATGGGTCTTGGAATCGATCTCGACACCTCTAAGCTCCACCCTCCTTCTCGTCAAGCAAATTGAGTATGAAGGAATAAGAAATGGGGATCTAATAGTAAAAGAATTTGTCGACTTGTGTAGCCGGTCATCGACATACAAATCAACCACTTCAGCAATCTCGTGCCCATAATCTATCGATTGTCTAATTCAACAACTTGATTGACTTGACTGATACACTGCTACATCCTTTCTCCCGTCCGAATCTCCTGTCCTTCCCATTTTGATGGATGTACATCTCAAGCATCTAGTTGAAATTACAAACTCTTTTACTTCAAGTAGTTATTGCTTTCAAGAAACCTTTTGTATGTTATAGAAGACATGTTATCCCATTGGAAGAAGATGAGTATAATAATCTATGTAATTTTTTTTATATAATGTATATTAGCATCATCCATCCCTCTTCTACTAAACCCTAATTATAATAAGTTTGTTTTTGGGAAGTCGGACACTTAACATATGTGGCCAAAGCAATAGCCTCCAAAGCTCTCAACAAAAAAGATGAAGGCTAATCATCTTCATTCAACTTTAATCAAAGCCTGGTCCATGATGTCCATGTTAAATTGGCGACCAAAAGGGTTTTGTAATGGAGGCAATGAGAAGTTGTCAAAGTAAAGAGAATGAGCTCATGTCATCATTTTGTGTTTTATATAAGAATGAATGAGCTTGAAAAGATGTAATTATGACTTTTGATAGAGTGACTTTAATTGATTACAACTATAATTATAGCTGCAACTAATCTTCATCGTGATCTAAATAGATGTCTTTCTGATTAGTCTAACCCAGTAGCATCGGTCGAACTATTTTATATACAGGATGAATCAAAATACATATTTTGGATTTCATACTAATTGCATAGTTTAAATATGGTCATTTTCATCTCCGTCTTCTTCCAATTTCTTGAGATTATTATCAAAGATGACTATGTCAAGCGGCTTTTGTGAGTTAGGATGTTAGGTTTCAATTCCATTTCTTCGGGAGCATCACCTATTTGTGTCATCTCTAAACGATGACAAAATTTAGGATGATTCATAAAACTTTCGATTTGAGTGATGACGTACAACCTCTTTTCGGTTTAGCATGAAATTGACATTTTTTTTATAATTGTGTTAGCTATATTGGATTTTAAAGGGGTAGATTGCCTTGTTGGTGGAGATATAACTTCGTCTCTTTGGTATTATTTATGACGAACAAAGGACCAAAAATAAATTCCACAATGAAAGGCAATTAACTAATATGTTCTCACTGAATTCCATTAAACAAAAATTAGGTGGCGCGAAAATAACGTCCTTCTCAACTGAAAAACCGTCCACCTCCGCCCCCTAACTTCTCTTCCTTCCTCCTCCTCTTCCAAGTTCCAATCTTCCATTCAAACTAAATACAATTCTCTCTCTCAGCTCCCTCTCTCTACCTTCAACCTAATCGCTAAACCACCGTCATCGCCGCCGGCCGCCGGCGTATCCGCAAAATCCTCTCCGGCTCTCCCCGCCCCTCCAAACGAAAAAACTACCGCCGACCCTGTTCGTCCTTCTCTTCTCACGGCGAGATCTCGAATCCTTTGCGTCTTCACCCACGATTGAAGCAAACCCGAACACGCCAGCGATCAAATTCACAAACTTTCCAAGCTTCCACCCAATTCCCAGGTCTGAACTTCTTTCAAATCTTCTTATCAATTTCCGTTTGAAGTTCTTCTGTATAAATTCTTTAAAGTACTACGGCCTCGATTACCTCGATTAATTTGAATTCGAATTCGAATTCGAATTCAAATTCATGAGTTAACAAATAGCAACTGAACATTAAAAAAAAAAATGTAACAGAAGCTGCGGTGAATTTAGTGAAACCCTTCTATTCTATCTGTCGGTCTCTGTTTTCCCCCCTCTGTAACAGAGGCAGAGAAATTTTAAACATTAAAAGTTCATTAATGGCGGGGGGTGATTTCTTAATGAAGCAGAAACCCATTGTTAATTCATCGATTTTCATCCCTCCCAATTAAAGAACTCTAAAAAAATTGTCCGTATTTGAATCACAGAGAGCTCTTAATCAAATAAATTAATCCCGTCTTTCATTTTTCGAGGAATCCATTGTTGGGTTTTTGTTTAAAAAATAGAAATTGCAGTCACTGTGAGTTCATGGGGATGGACAATGATCTTTCCTCCACGTGGTCCATCCACGTCTTGCTCAAGAACAATGGCATCATCTGCAGTCTCTGCAACTTCAAATCTTGTCCATAATATATCATTTCTGTGTTTCCCAAATCAACAAAACAAACAAAAAACGCCACATTATAATTTCGATTCCATCCCCCCTGCCTTAACTTTTTGGGCCGTTCTAATGATTAACTTTTTGGTTTTCTGGGTTTGATTAAGGAGCTCGTAATCTCGTCAATAATGGTGATCTTTGTCAGTATTTTGCTGCTGAATTATGGAGCAAAATGTTTCTTTTCTAAGAAGCATGGAGCAAATTGTTTTTTTTTTTAATTTGATAACAGGGATGATGGGACTTCATAGTTGAAAAACTCCCATGTACGAGACAGATAGTAACTGACTGATAAATATTTTTTGATAATGAACTGCATGACAAATATTGAAGGTCAAAAATTTCTTGTCCATTAATAGCATTTATAGAAAGCTTTTTGCTTTCCATTAATTGTGGACTGGGGAGGAAGAGAAGATTTTATAACATGGGAAGCAACAAGTAACTTCTCATCTTTGCGTGATTTCACTTGAGTGTTTGATTCGAGTTTACGTGATTTACTGAAATCGAGTAATACATTGTCAACTATACAACAATGGGAACTCAAAGAAGTATCCTTTCTATGGTTTACAACACCGGTGCTGTTTTCACGCTTGATAGATTCGAGTTTTACTCGATTTTTTCGTGACCAAATGAAAAGACAAGAAACATGGAAGAGCGATTGAGCTAAGTAACATGAGAACTTATCTATCATTTAATCGAATGGTTCGTGGAATTCTTACGTGGTGCTGAATTCGAGTTTACGTGACTTTTCGTAACCAAAGTGAGAGGGTAAAGAACAGGGAAGAGTGGGCAATTCTGCTATGTGTTGGTAGTAGATTCAAGCTGGAGAAATTGCCAGCCCAGCCAGCCATGGAATGCCCGTGAGAGAGTACATTACAAAGTATGTCAGGCAGGCAGGCAGGCAGAAAGAAAGGAATAAAAACAGAGTAATTGACAAAGGAAGATGTAAAACAAAGTAAAAACAGAGTAAGAAAATAAAAGTAAAAGGAGGAGAAAGAGAAAGGAAGGTCTCTTCCATGTCCACTCTCTTTCCGTTCCGTCACTTATTATCCTACGCACCATCTCTTCTTCCCTTTTTTTCACTTTACCTTGACCAAAGTAGCAGAGCATTTGTAGTGGTCGCTAGCTAGTTGTTAGTCACTTCTCTTCCTTCTTCCTTCTTCTTCCCCTTCCCCACCATTTTCTTCTCGAGAGGGACCTTTCATTCCATTCCTGCTGGGCTAGCCAACAAAGGCCAGCGATTTTGATTGCTACCAGAACCGGAAAAAAACAACCCCAAAGAAAGCAAAAGAGAGTTTTTCCCTTAGACCGTTAATTCCACACACGTTCTTCTTCCACTCCCCGCTTTCTCTACAAACAAAACTGCCTCTGCATTGCCGCCAATCGTTTCACTTCTCTGGTTTTCATCGCTTGATCGGGCGGTTTGTAGACGAAATTCGGGTACCCAATTGGAGTTTTGATCGTTTGCAGATCTGGGTATCTATAAAGCTGCAATCTTTTTTTCTGCTCTGCTTTTCATTACCCCCTTTAATGGCGATGCTCCTCTTTCTTCTTTTTTGTTGATGGGTATCTCTCCTTCTGTTGCAGATTTGCTTCCGGGAACTGGAAAAAAAAAGGAGCTTTCTGAAGTTTGATTCTTCTCTGTTCCAATGCGGGAAGCTTGAAGAAATTTCCCGATCAATGTGGGTTCTGATTAAAGGGAAGTTGCTGTTGAAATAATAATCGGAATGGACGTTTACGAATCGCGGAAGAGCGTAGCTCTGGATTCGGCCAAACGGCTCCCATTAGCTCCAGCAGAAAGGAACCGCAACGCGCCACCGCCACCTCCTCCCGCCGCCGTCGCCACTCGCCGGCCGAGGAGAGATGTAAACGCCAGGTACAAATCACCGACCCCATCGTCTCCTTCTGCCACCACCGCCGGCGCCGCACGCCGGTTCCCATCCCCAAATGTCCCCGCCGCCAGAGTAATCCCTTCATCGTCTCCCAAGAGAGCCCAATCCGCCGAGCGCCGGCGGCCATCTCCCAACCCAATTTCGCCCCGAACGGCGTCCACACCGGTCAAGGATTCCGCCGTCGTCGAAGCTCTGGTGATGCCTAGTATTACTCGGAGGCTGAGTACAGGTGGTGGTGGGGCTCGGTTGCCGGAGAGTTTGTGGCCTTCCACGATGAGAAGCCTCAGTGTGTCATTTCAGTCTGATAGCATTTCAATTCCGGTCAGCAAGAAGGAGAAGGAGAAGGAGAAGGAGAAAGAGAAGCCAACTGATCGAACATTGAAGCCATCGTCCAATGTAGCTTCTCCGAAACATGTCGAACCGAGGAAGCAGCAGCAGCAGCAGCCTACGCCGCCGGAGAGGAAAATGAGTCCTCTGAGAGGTAGGAATTCTACTTCTTCATCACAACATGATCATCAATCTGAGAATGCTAGACCAGTAGTAGCAGCAGCAGTAGATCATAGCTTCCGAGCGGCGAAGATGATTGATCAGCATAGATGGCCAAGTAGGGTTAGTGGCAGAGCGAATTCAATGTCCATGAACAAGAGTGTTGATCTTAATGATATCAAGTCAGTAAGAGCGTTAGCTACTCCTCAAGTTGTTTCAATCGGGACCTCCACCCTCAAGAAGATGCCTTCATTAGGACTACCTGATGATGGTGGTGACAGGCCATTGCAGAAATCAGTTAGCGATGCTGCGACTCGAATGTACTCGCCCGAGGATGAGAAAGAGAAGCCCGGGATGAAGGCGTTCGATGAGGTTCTGGAACGGTTGTCGAGAGCTGAGAAGTTGGTTTCAGCGAACTTGCCTGATAGAATGGCGTATCTGCCATCGGTGAGGACTCACTCGTCATTGCCTAGCCCTAGATCTTCGAGGCCAGCTTCACCAAGCAAGGGTCTGGGGAGTAGAGGTGGGAGTCCGTGTCGAACGAGACCATCCACACCCCCTTCTTCGAGGGGAGTTAGTCCTTCTCGGGGGGCAGTGTCCAGTCCTTCATCTTCATCGTCAGCCTTTGGGTCAAATTCAGTGTTAAGTTTCATAACGGATTACAAGAGGGGGAAGAGGAGTGCTAGCTACATTGAAGATGCACATCAGTTGAGGCTGCTTCACAACCGGTTCTTGCAGTGGAGGTTTGCTAATGCTCAACAAGAGGCTGCTCTTTATGTTCAGAAAGTGAACACTGAGGTAAGTTACTAGATTTCTTGCTGGTGAAGCTTACACAGACTGTGTTTCTTAGAGCTCAAGTTTTTTGTTCAAGAATTCAGACTTGACTAGAATGGATGTAGGCGTAGCCAGGGAATTTTGAGAGAAAGGGGTCAGTAACTAATTCCTACTGACAAATCGGTCAGTAACCCAAGGAAAAGAACTAAACTTGTTTATGAGCCATGGCTGAAAACTCGTGCATTCTGATCTGTTGTGACACTTGAAGTTCTCATGGACCTTGTTCTGATGTTTGCAGAGAAATCTATACGACGTATGGAACACTACCATATCGCTGTGGGATTCAGTAATTAGTAAGAGAATCGATCTACAGCAGCAGAAGTTGGAGCTCAAGTTAAATGCAATTTTAAGCGAACAAGTACGATCCCGTGATCGAATGCATGTTTTTGGGCCTGCAAAAGTTCTCTAGTTATTTCCACATTGTGACTGATTGGATGAATCATATTATTTTTCTTGCAGATGGCATACCTAGATGATTGGGGATTACTCGAGAGAGACCACGTCAGCTCTCTAACAGGAGCTGTCGACGATTTGGAGGCGAGCACTCTTCGCCTTCCGGTGGCTGGAGGAGCAAAGGTATCATCTTTTTTATGCAAACAAATAGATGGCTTTTTGTGTGTGACATTTCTAGGGACCAGAGTTACCAAAACTTTGTTTCCTCCCAACTTTCTTACAGGCGGATATAGAATCCCTAAAGCTTGCTGTATGCTCAGCCGTCGATGTAATGCAGGCAATGGGATCTTCCATATGTTACTTGCTCTCCAAGGTACGCTACTTTAACTCCAGTTCCTTCCCATCAAAATCTCTAGCATTTCATTTCAATGATGAACACATTTTTGTCAGATGAAGCCCTTGGAATAGTGTAATTAAAAATATGGTTGGGGTTACTTGCAATGCAGGCGGAAGCAATGAATCGATTTGTAACAGATCTTGCGATCGTAGCAGCACGAGAGAAATCAATGCTTGCTGAATGTGAAGCCCTATTGGAATCAACAGCAGCCATGCAGGTGAGAGTTCGGACTTCAAACGAATCGAGCGCCCACATAGTTTTTTTTATTACTTGCAATTGATTCGTTTTTGAAATTGTTTTGTTGGTTTTATAGATAGAAGAGGGCAGCATTAGAACGCATTTGATACAAATGAGGCAGGCTCTGGAAAACCAAGCAATGTTGACTACAAGAAACCATCAATGGTGGTCCTGATCAAATATCAACCCAGGAACAAACTTCAATTACTAACCGACACTTCCCTCCACCACCAGGCAGAGATGACATCGATCGATAGTATACTCCGATCGCATCTCAGTAAAAATGTAAATTGTTATTAGTTTTTATCACTTTTGAGTTAAAATCAGGAGGGAGTTCTTTGCTCCAGTATGTTTCTTCTTCTATTCTCCATACAACAGTGAGCTGTTTGTTGGCTCCTGTCTTTCTTTCTTCAAGTGTAAGCTCCTTTTGTTCTTGTACCACGCACATGGAAGATAGAGAAATGAAAAAAAGAAATGGAAATGAATCAAGAGGATTCAGAATCTCAATCTCATTGTAGCGACAGATGAAATGTAGTAGCAACTCGATATCTAGATACATCACACAAGTGTAAATGCGTCATGGTAGTGCAACTGTATCTCTGCCATAAACCATATCCTTCGAGTTAACGACAAATCATGAGCTTAAGCAATGGAATTAGAGCACCTGAAGATATCAACGAACATCTATGAAATGGGTGCATGTTTTTCAGCTGATTCTCGCTACATTGATATTGCTCCTAGATTGACAAAATTAATCTAAATTTTTGGGGAGTATCATGAAATGCATTCAGGGGCAATGCCAAAAGGAAAGTGTTGGGCCATAGCTGAGCGGTATTGGGCTTGTAAGCCCACAGAAAGCCCAAGGAAAAAGGCCCGTCGGGAGGCCCGAGAAGCAGACATGGGGAACAGAGAAAGGAGGGCGGCCGCCCTAGGATGGGACAGGTAGTAGGCCGCCTGACACAAGGAGCCGTTGCTCGGTATAGGGCGAGATCTCCCCAAGATACTCACCTCGAACACCGCAGGACTGAGCATTAATTGCCCGCCGTAGGCGGTCTAGATAAAGAAGGGTCGATCTAGGACGCCTGACAATGGCATTTAATGCCCGAAACCCAGACCAGATCACTATAAATACATTCATATCTGCATTGATGGTAAACCAACTACTCTCTCTCTCTCTAACCATAAACACAAATTCTCTATTCCATCTCTAACTTAAGCATCGGAGGGTGTCCAGGGCGACCGCCCAAGGACCCTTGTTTTGCAGGAGCATTGGAGTGCCCCATCCTCTAGAACAGACGCGTCGCTCGTTCCTCTCAAGACCGCCTAGAACATTCTAGGCTCAAACAATTTGGCGCCCACCGTGGGGCGAGAGATAGCGCTGAAGAAAGGATGGATGGGAGCTCCAACACCCCTGTCAAAGACATGATCGGGAGAAGCAACCCTCGCGGTCCAGATGTGCAGGCGAGTGGCATCCGAGGATTGGAAATGCCCACTGTGGAGGAAGAAATGGAAATGGAGGACCGCGTGAAAAGCCAGAGACAACAAATATCGAGCATGCAAGAGAGCCTGGGCCAGATTTTGGCCATGCTCAAAGAGAAGGAAAGCGAGACGCCTGGAAGCTCAGGAAAGCGGCTGAACAAAGGAAAGGGAAAAGAAGGCGATCCCGACAGCCCTGCTCGGACAGAAGGCGGGGAGTCCGATAAAGAAGAAGACGCCGAAGATCCTAGCTTGGGATTCTTGGAGGAGCACCTCAGACCCACATATGGCCGGACCAAAGGGCCCACCATCCTCCAAAACCCACTGGCTAGGAGCTTATTCAAAACTCAAGTTCCCTCGAACTTCTCATCACTCGGGCTACCCGTGTACGATGGAAACTCGGACCCGGCTGATCACCTGAGCGCCTTCATGTTAAAGATGCAGCTCATCAACGCCACGGACGCGGATTTATGCAAGGCGTTCCCAGTCACATTTGGCGGTCAGTGTAGAACTTGGTACACATCCTTGCCAGAGGGGATAATTGAAGACTTCGAGCAGTTCGCGACCCTTTTCTCTTCGAAGTTCGCGTCCCAGCGAAGGAGGAAGCTGACGGTATCGTCACTGATAAACTGCAAGCAAGGGGGAGACGAGCCGCTTGCGGACTTCTACGATAGGTGGAACACAATAGCTGGTGAAGTGCAGGGCATCTCACCAAGTGTGGCGGCGGGAAACCTGCGTATGTCCACACACAGCCATGAGCTGCGAAGAGCGCTTATCAAGAAGGAGCATGCGCTAAAGGAATGGCCTGATCTCGACCGCTTAGTGAGAAAGGCAATCCTGCTGGAGGAAGCTATGGTTGCGGAAGACGCTAGCAAACGCGCCAGTACAAGAGGCGAGAAGAAGAAGGGTGGTTCACCCAAGAGGAGGGGGCGGTCCCCTGAAAGGCGGAATTATAAACCCCGGTACACACACCGGGACAACAGGAGAGAGGTTTTCACCACTAGCCGAGAAGAAAGAAGAGACAGCAAAGGCGAAGGAAATGCGCACCAGACGCACAGGAGGGAGGAGGACCGGAAATGGTGTGACTGGCACCAGATGCCCACACATGACACCACAGAGTGTCGGGAGTTCAAGGCAAGCCTGAAGTATTTAGCGCCCGGCGACCTCAAGAGCCGTTTGGACACAAGACCGCATCGGCACGAGCAGAGGCATCAAAGGGAAAGGTCGCCAAGTCCGAGGCAAAGATCCCGAATGCCCAAGAGAGGAAGGTCAAGATCGCAAAGGAGGAACCGCTCCCCAAGGCATGACCGTTCCCCAAAGCGTGACCGCCTTCCTCCACCGCCGAGAAGGTCCCCTCGTCGGCAGCCACGTGTGAACGAAGATGACATCGAAGTCATAACCATTGCAGGAGGACGCAAGAGACCCAGAAGTGAGGGGGATCGCTTAGTCCAGTGTCTAAATGTCAATAGAAGCGAGCAAGTGGACATCAACTTTTCACCCTCTGAACTGGCCTAGGGTGAAAGCGCCGAGGATCCACTAGTTATCTCGTTGAGGACGAGAAAGTTTAAAGTAACCAGGGCATTGGTGGACAATGGTAGCTCAGCAGACATACTATTCTACTCTACCCTCAAGAGCATGAAGATGAGCGACCAAGACCTCAAGCCCTCCACTACGAGCTTAGTAGGATTCTCGGGTTCAAAGATCAGAGTAATGGGGGTGGTCACGCTGCAGGTGACGATCGGAGAGGCAGACATAACAAAGACGCGCACGATGGACTTTCATGTGGCTGATTGCCCGTCAGCGTATAATGCGATCCTAGGACGCGGTTTCCTGTCATTATTTTCAGCGGTCCCCTCCACTTGCCACCAATTGCTAAAGTTTCCCGTGGGCGGAAGAGTGGGGCAAGTCAAGGGAAATACCGAGCAAGCCAAGGAATGCTACCAGGCAACAATAGAGAGCCTGGAGGTGGATTTGGTGGATACTAGAGGAGGACACCCGCGCCCAGAAGCAGTAGAAGGAGACGCAGAAGTCTTCCTTGACAGTGAGGAGCCGGAGAAGAAGGTGAGAATCTCCTCTCATCTCACGGAGGAGAAGGCAAGAGAGCTCTTGGCGCTCCTCAAGGAATACAAAGATCTATTCGCATGGACCTCCGAAGACATGCCAGGTGTATCAAGAGAACTCGCTGAGCATCATTTGGCGGTCAAGAATAAAGCAAAGCCTATTCAGCAACGAAGAAGGAACGCCTCCTTGGAAAAGCAGATGGCATTGGAGGAAGAAGTAAGGCGGCTGCTCAAGGCCGGCTTCATAAGGGAAGTCAAATACCCAACTTGGCTGTCAAACCCTGTCTTCGTCCGGAAGGCTTCAGGACTTTGGCGGATGTGCATAGACTTCACAAACTTGAACGCGGCCTGCCCCAAGGATGCATACCCTCTGCCAAGAATCGATCAACTCATAGATGCAACCGCCAACCATGAAAGCCTGAGCTTCCTCGACATGTTTTCAGGTTATCATCAAATCCGTCTATCCGAAGAAGACCAGGAGAAGACCGCATTCATGACTCACATGGGAAACTTCTGCTAAACGGTCATGCCTTTCGGCCTCAAGAACGCGGGCGCAACATACCAGAGAATGATAGACGCGGTCTTCAGGAGCCAGTTAGGAAGAAACGTGGAGGCGTATGTGGATGATGTGTTGGTCAAAAGTAGGAAGGAAGAGGATCACCTGAAGGATTTGAAGGAAACTTTCGAAAGCTTGAGGAAAGAGCGCCTGCGTTTAAACCCGCTTAAGTGCGTGTTTGGCGCCAAGGCGGGGAAATTCCTAGGGTTCATGATTACCCGAAGAGGGATAGAGGCAAACCCAAAGCAGATAGAAGCTATCGCAGTCTTGAGACCGCCCCAGACTGTCAAAGAGATCCAAGCGTTCAATGGAAAAATGGCCGCTCTGAGCCGTTTCATTCCCCGAGCCGCAGATAAGTGCTCGCCTTTCTTTCAAATGCTCAAAAAGTCTGCCTCTCGTTCCCAGTGGAGCGCAGAGTGTGACAAGGCGTTCTTCCAGCTGACGGAGCAGCTCACCTCACCGCCAGTGCTGAGCGCCCCGCAACCGGGCGAGCCATTATATCTTTATCTGGCGGTCTCGGATCAAGCAGTTAGTTCAGTGTTGATAAGAAGAGATGGGGATGGCTCAGATCGCCCCATCTATTATGTGAGCAAGGCGCTCCTCCCGGCGGAGAAGCGATACATGCCAATAGAACGAGCGGTCCTAGGGTTGTCACAGCCGCTAGGAAACTCCGCCCATATTTCCAAGAGCATCAGATCATCATTCTCTCAAATCTCCCCTTACGAAGAATCCTGAAAGGAATGGACGTGTCGGGGCGAATGACCAAATGGGCGGTCGAACTCAGTGAGTACGATATAACGTACGCCCCGCGACCCGCCATAAAGGGGCAGGTTTTAGCAGATTTCATCGCCGAGGGATTCAGCCTAGGAAGTGTGGAGAATGCGGAAGTTTGGCGCCTGTTCGTCGACGGGGCAGCAGGAAAAGGAGGAGCAGGAGCGGGGATAGTCATTGAAACGCCCGCAGGAGTGGTCCACGAGATATCTCACCGTTTCATTGAGTTGAAGACCAACAATGTTGCAGAGTATGAAGCGCTTCTCAGCGGATTGAAGATCGCGGTTAACATGGGGGCATCCCGTGTCCATATATACTCCGACTCATTGTTGGTAGTCAACCAGGTGTTGGAAAGTTATGAAGTCAAGGAGGAAGCGCTTGCCAAATTAGCAGGGGCAGTAAAGGGCATCCTGTCCCAACTGGACTCTTGGAAACTGGAGCATGTGAAGAGGGAAGAAAACCATCACGCTGACGCCTTATCCAAGTTGGCAACCGCCATGGATTTTGAAGGGGAGCGACGGATAACGATAACTAAAGAGGGGCTCCAGGCGTGCGAAGTAATGGCCTTGGGGGAGGAAGACTCCGACTGGCGGTCCCCGCTGATTAACTACCTGCAAGATGAAGTCGTGCCAAATGATGCCGTCTCGGCCAAGGCGCTCCGGAGAAAGGCCGCCCAGTATACCATGGTGGGAGGACAGCTGTGCAAAAGGTCTTTCTCAGGTGCATATTTAAAGTGTCTCGGTCCAGAAGAGGCTAAGTGGGTGGTCAAAGAGATCCACCAAGGAACGTGTGCAACGCACTCTGGGCCGCGGAGCCTAGAGCGGACGATACTGTTACAAGGATACTATTGGCCAACGGTGAAGAAGGATGCATTGGAAGTGGTTCAGAAGTGCCACGAATGCCAAGTCCATGCGAGCAAACAGCACCTGCCAAGTGAACAACTGAGGAGCATC